ATTGTAGAAGTAATTCCGGAATAGGAAAATTAATTTTTACAAATTGTAAAAATAATTCCGGAAGAGTAAATTAATTTTTACAAATTGTAAATGTAATTCCGGAAGAGTAAATTAATTTTTACAAATTGTAAAAATAATTCCGGAAGAGGAAAATTAATTTTTACAAATTGTAAAAATAATTCCGGAAGAGGAAATTAATTTTCACAAATTGTAAATGTAATTCCGGAAGAGTAAATTAATTTTTACAAATTGTAAAAATAATTCCGGAAGAGGAAAATTAATTTTTACAAATTGTAAAAAAATTCCGGAAGAGAAAAATTAATTTTTACAAATTGTAAAAGTAATTCCGGAAGAGGAAAATTAATTATTACAAATTGTAGAAGTAATTCCGGAATAGGAAAATTAATTTTTACAAATTGTAAAAATAATTCCGGAAGAGTAAATTAATTTTTACAAATTGTAAAAATAATTCCGGAAGAGAAAAATTAATTTTTACAAATTGTAAAAGTAATTCCGGAAGAGGAAAATTAATTATTACAAATTGTAGAAGTAATTCCGGAATAGGAAAATTAATTTTTACAAATTGTAAAAATAATTCCGGAAGAGTAAATTAATTTTTACAAATTGTAAAAATAATTCCGGAAGAGAAAAATTAATTTTTACAAATTGTAAATGTAATTCCGGAAGAGGAAAATTAATTTTTACAAATTGTAAAAATAATTCCGGAAGAGGAAAATTAATTTTCACAAATTGTAAATGTAATTCCGGAAGAGGAAAATTAATTATTACAAATTGTAGAAGTAATTCCGGAAGAGGAAAATTAATTTTTACAAATTGTAAAAATAATTCCGGAAGAGTAAATTAATTTTTACAAATTGTAAAAATAATTCCGGAAGAGAAAAATTAATTTTTACAAATTGTAAAAGTAATTCCGGAAGAGGAAATTAATTTTCACAAATTGTAAATGTAATTCCGGAAGAGTAAATTAATTTTTACAAATTGTAAAAATAATTCCGGAAGAGGAAAATTAATTTTTACAAATTGTAAAAAAATTCCGGAAGAGAAAAATTAATTTTTACAAATTGTAAAAGTAATTCCGGAAGAGGAAAATTAATTATTACAAATTGTAGAAGTAATTCCGGAATAGGAAAATTAATTTTTACAAATTGTAAAAATAATTCCGGAAGAGTAAATTAATTTTTACAAATTGTAAAAATAATTCCGGAAGAGAAAAATTAATTTTTACAAATTGTAAAAGTAATTCCGGAAGAGGAAAATTAATTATTACAAATTGTAGAAGTAATTCCGGAATAGGAAAATTAATTTTTACAAATTGTAAAAATAATTCCGGAAGAGGAAAATTAATTTTTACAAATTGTAAAAATAATTCCGGAAGAGTAAATTAATTTTTACAAATTGTAAAAATAATTCCGGAAGAGGAAAATTAATTTTTACAAATTGTAAAAATAATTCCGGAAGAGGAAATTAATTTTCACAAATTGTAAATGTAATTCCGGAAGAGTAAATTAATTTTTACAAATTGTAAAAATAATTCCGGAAGAGGAAAATTAATTTTTACAAATTGTAAAAAAATTCCGGAAGAGAAAAATTAATTTTTACAAATTGTAAAAGTAATTCCGGAAGAGGAAAATTAATTATTACAAATTGTAGAAGTAATTCCGGAATAGGAAAATTAATTTTTACAAATTGTAAAAGTAATTCCGGAAGAGGAAAATTAATTATTACAAATTGTAGAAGTAATTCCGGAATAGGAAAATTAATTTTTACAAATTGTAAAAATAATTCCGGAAGAGTAAATTAATTTTTACAAATTGTAAAAATAATTCCGGAAGAGGAAAATTAATTTTTACAAATTGTAAAAATAATTCCGGAAGAGGAAATTAATTTTCACAAATTGTAAATGTAATTCCGGAAGAGTAAATTAATTTTTACAAATTGTAAAAATAATTCCGGAAGAGGAAAATTAATTTTTACAAATTGTAAAAAAATTCCGGAAGAGAAAAATTAATTTTTACAAATTGTAAAAGTAATTCCGGAAGAGGAAAATTAATTATTACAAATTGTAGAAGTAATTCCGGAATAGGAAAATTAATTTTTACAAATTGTAAAAATAATTCCGGAAGAGTAAATTAATTTTTACAAATTGTAAAAATAATTCCGGAAGAGAAAAATTAATTTTTACAAATTGTAAAAGTAATTCCGGAAGAGGAAAATTAATTATTACAAATTGTAGAAGTAATTCCGGAATAGGAAAATTAATTTTTACAAATTGTAAAAATAATTCCGGAAGAGTAAATTAATTTTTACAAATTGTAAATGTAATTCCGGAAGAGTAAATTAATTTTTACAAATTGTAAAAATAATTCCGGAAGAGGAAAATTAATTTTTACAAATTGTAAAAATAATTCCGGAAGAGGAAATTAATTTTCACAAATTGTAAATGTAATTCCGGAAGAGTAAATTAATTTTTACAAATTGTAAAAATAATTCCGGAAGAGGAAAATTAATTTTTACAAATTGTAAAAAAATTCCGGAAGAGAAAAATTAATTTTTACAAATTGTAAAAGTAATTCCGGAAGAGGAAAATTAATTATTACAAATTGTAGAAGTAATTCCGGAATAGGAAAATTAATTTTTACAAATTGTAAAAATAATTCCGGAAGAGTAAATTAATTTTTACAAATTGTAAAAATAATTCCGGAAGAGAAAAATTAATTTTTACAAATTGTAAAAGTAATTCCGGAAGAGGAAAATTAATTATTACAAATTGTAGAAGTAATTCCGGAATAGGAAAATTAATTTTTACAAATTGTAAAAATAATTCCGGAAGAGTAAATTAATTTTTACAAATTGTAAAAATAATTCCGGAAGAGAAAAATTAATTTTTACAAATTGTAAATGTAATTCCGGAAGAGGAAAATTAATTTTTACAAATTGTAAAAATAATTCCGGAAGAGGAAAATTAATTTTCACAAATTGTAAATGTAATTCCGGAAGAGGAAAATTAATTATTACAAATTGTAGAAGTAATTCCGGAAGAGGAAAATTAATTTTTACAAATTGTAAAAATAATTCCGGAAGAGTAAATTAATTTTTACAAATTGTAAAAATAATTCCGGAAGAGAAAAATTAATTTTTACAAATTGTAAAAGTAATTCCGGAAGAGGAAATTAATTTTCACAAATTGTAAATGTAATTCCGGAAGAGTAAATTAATTTTTACAAATTGTAAAAATAATTCCGGAAGAGGAAAATTAATTTTTACAAATTGTAAAAAAATTCCGGAAGAGAAAAATTAATTTTTACAAATTGTAAAAGTAATTCCGGAAGAGGAAAATTAATTATTACAAATTGTAGAAGTAATTCCGGAATAGGAAAATTAATTTTTACAAATTGTAAAAATAATTCCGGAAGAGTAAATTAATTTTTACAAATTGTAAAAATAATTCCGGAAGAGAAAAATTAATTTTTACAAATTGTAAAAGTAATTCCGGAAGAGGAAAATTAATTATTACAAATTGTAGAAGTAATTCCGGAATAGGAAAATTAATTTTTACAAATTGTAAAAATAATTCCGGAAGAGTAAATTAATTTTTACAAATTGTAAAAATAATTCCGGAAGAGAAAAATTAATTTTTACAAATTGTAAATGTAATTCCGGAATAGGAAAATTAATTTTTACAAATTGTAAAAATAATTCCGGAAGAGGAAAATTAATTTTCACAAATTGTAAATGTAATTCCGGAAGAGGAAAATTAATTATTACAAATTGTAGAAGTAATTCCGGAAGAGGAAAATTAATTTTTACAAATTGTAAAAATAATTCCGGAAGAGTAAATTAATTTTTACAAATTGTAAAAATAATTCCGGAAGAGGAAAATTAATTTTCACAAATTGTAAATGTAATTCCGGAAGAGGAAAATTAATTTTCACAAATTGTAAATGTAATTCCGGAAGAGGAAAATTAATTATTACAAATTGTAGAAGTAATTCCGGAAGAGGAAAATTAATTTTTACAAATTTTAAAAAAATTCCGGAAGAGAAAAATTAATTTTTACAAATTGTAAAAGTAATTCCGGAAGAGGAAAATTAATTATTACAAATTGTAAATGTAATTCCGGAAGAGGAAAATTAATTTTTACAAATTGTAAAAATAATTCCGGAAGAGGAAAATTAATTTTTACAAATTGTAAGAATTTTACGATATCCTCATGAAACCCCAATCCCGTTTTGGGATCCCAAATTTGCAATTTTGCAGCATTCCTGTTAAATACCTATATTAATCTTTCCTTTTAAAAGGTATTCTTCATAAAGGGCTGTGGTGGAAATGGAAACAAATTTGCCAGTAAAGAAGAATGTGAACGGCGGTGTTTAAAAAGATGAAAAAACAAAATTTAAACAAAAATTTAATTTAAAAATAGAAGAGCCGCTTTATTCTCCACATATTCATTTTGGCCAAATATACTTTAGGCCTTTAAATATTGAACAAAAAATATTCTTTTTTGATTATATATATAAAATATGGTATTTTATGAGAGATGAACTTTTTTTAAAAATTGGTGATGGGCTAAGGTTTGTTTTTTTTAATTTTATTGGAGAAAGAGAGGAGAGAATAATTTGGGGGAATTGAAGAAGCATATCAATTCTTTTTTCAAAAAAAAGCACGAAATTTGAGGGCAGTTTATGTGTGTAATTGTAGGGCTGGCGGGTCCAAATACTCGAAATTTTTGTTACGATATCAGATCCGGATATCTGGGGGATCCCCCAGGATCCGCCAACCTTATTGTAGAGTTCACAAAAAATGGGTGAGGGGGTTAAGATGTATATTAAAAGGTTCATTTCTAAAAATGCACAAATAATTCTAGGGTTATTTTTTTTTATCTATCCCAAACCCATTGGCAATTCTGAAAATCCCTACCATCTAAATAGGGATATATATTTATATATTTTTTTAACTCTTCATCAAATCAGTTCCATTTTTTAACTGTAAGGATAGAAGCCAGCATAAACTGAGGTTCGAGGAGCAGAACCTGAGCGAAGTGCAGAATAGTTGGAGGAACGCAACAAATCCATCTATATATTTTTTGAATTTTTTAGAGGGAAATTTTAGAGATATTTACCTGTTTACAGGCTTGTTCTAATTGATAGCTTACAGTTGTGTATTTATGGCGAAGCTAAAAAATGAGAAATGTTGGATAGATTCAAGCTAGAGGCAGCTTACCCTATCTCTTTCATAACGTTCCCTAGACAAACTACGTTGAAGAGTGTCTACATAACTCTTTAAAAGTGGCCAAAATTATTTTAACAAATTTTTGATAATACCTGATAATTGCTAAGGGGAGCGAAACCTATTTGACCACGATTTGAGGCGCGATACGTCTCATAATTGCTAGGAACATTCCAATCATATGGTCGATGAAGACTAACAAAAGAATATTTTCTAAAGTCTACAAAAATCTTGAAACCTGTCGACATAGCTGTCAACACGAGAAGAGCGACCAGTACCAAGATAATAATCAATTCCGCCACGAGAGCTAAAAATTTAGAAAGGTTATTTGATGAATATTCTCAATTACGTCGATCTGCTCAATGCCAAATTACTCTGATAAAGGGGTGATCGTTGAAGCGATTGACTACGTGCCATCTCAAATTGTTTGGCACCAGCATAATCCATAAAAGATGTGTAGGAACTTCCAGCAGTTGGTGCACGGCTAATTAAAGAAGAGGGTGGAGTAGAATAATCACGTGTACGAAGTGGAGCTGGCAGTTGAGAGGCAAATCTAGATTTTTAATTAAAATTAAGGATAATTTAAACAACAAGTTTTGAGGGCAAAAGGACCGGTAAAGAAACAACGGGTTTGTTGACTCAACCACAGACTTGTAATAATTCCTGGCTTGGCTCTGCGAACGTAAAGCATGGCGGCGTTCTCGTGTGCGAGAACGAGAACGTTCTAACAATCGTGAAGTAGAATACAGGGAAGAAGCGAATGGACCACTAGTCACTAAATCATCAAAGAAGGCAGTATAGGCTGCTGGTGCTGCTGGCGGTTCACCAACTGTGTACTAAAAAGAAGGGAGGTTTGAGGTAATCTTTCATTCAAGCGAGCGTTCTCACCTCATTACGATATTTGCTGGAGCGATCAACCCATGGCGAAATTGGCTTGTAAGAATCGCGGTCCTGAAGGTAAAAAAATTTTCTTTTCAATCATTTTAACGCCTAAAATACCGCAGCAGTCCAGGATGAGAAAGACTCGCCAGCTGGCATTCTTGCTGGCTTTGTTTCGGCTTTTAGGTCCTAAGCACATATAATTGAATTAATTATTTAATTTTAAAGCTTCTACCTGATCATAAGGCATATAATCGCGGCTGGCTGGCTCTCGGCGGAAGGACACCTTAATAGGTTAGGTTCATTGGATACTAATTTAAAATCTCATTTTACAGGTGAAGGTGAACGCTCTGGACGTGGTGGTGGCGGTGCTGGGGAACCTTCCAATTCATCACGCGGTGGTTTCTCCTGTTCTTCCTGATCTCCTGGCTCTTCAGCTTTTGACTCTGTTTGTTCCGGCTCTTCAGCCTTTGATTCAGTCTGCTCCCCAGCTTCAGACTCGGGTGCTGGTGGCTCTTCCTGTTGTGATTCTTCTGCTTTTGACTAAATTAAAGGTACATTAAATCTTAATTTAATTTCTTCTCACCTCTTCCTTAACACTTTCTTTCTCAACATCTTCAGCAATTGTATCTTCCTTCTGTTCACTAATTGATTCCTCTTTAGTTTCTTCTTTAGGCATTCCATCTTCCCCACGGTCCCAGCTAGTTAAACGTTTAAACCGGGCCTCTTCTTCCTCCCTTTCTCTTTGACGTTCTTCAAACGAAGCTTGGCGTTGTCTTTCTTCCTCTTCAGCTGCTAGTTTTCCGGCATCGGAATCAGCAACTTCATTTTCAGTTGGAGGGTCTTCAGTTTCTTCTGGTTTGGGTTCTTCTACTTGACTTGTTGGGGTTCTTTAAATTTTAAAAATTAATTAAAGCAATCTTTTCTCTCCTTACTTTGGTGTTCGGGGGCTTCTTGGTGATTTTGAACCTCTCGACTTTGGTGACTTTACAGAAAGCACTTCATCTTCAAAGGTTGTCTTTTTTGCTCCAGTTTTGTTTGAATTAAAGTCGAATGCTCTGCCACTGCGTGTAGATTTTGGTGTAGCAGTTGCTCCACTTTTTGGGGTTGCGGGGGCACCGCCACTTTTTGGAGTTGGAGGAGCACCACTTTTTGGAGTTGCAGGGATTGGAGAGGCTGTTTAATTAAGGATTACTTCTATTAAAGTTCAAGATTTCTTACCAATAGTGCTTTGTTTGGAAGCACTTTCGCGGCGCGGAAACTCAATTATTCCATTTATCAAGGTGCCACCTTCCACCTTCTCACCCACTTCCTGTGGTTGTTCATCTACAGGCTGTTCACTCTCAGACTTTTGCTCTGACTCTGGTTGTGGTTCATCCAATTCGTTGGGTGTCCTCGGTCGTTTTGGTACTGGCGGTGCCTGCAATTCAAAATGTTCAGGTTCCGCCACACTCTCTTCTTTAGGAGGATCAGCCTCCTCTTGTGGTGCTTCTTCAGTTTGAGGCTCTTCAGGTGCTGGTTCCTCTTCTGCTACTGGTACTGACTCCGCGGCAGAATCTGCTTCAACTTTTGGTGCTTCCTCTTGCTTTTCCTCACCACCATCAAGTATACTTACAGGAATCTCTGCTGCATCTTTTTCTGTATTTTCCTCTTCTGCTTTATCTAATCCATTTTCTTTTGGTTGTTCATCTTCAACAGGCTCTTTAGGTTCTTCATTAGCAATTTCTTCAATACCGTCCATTGAAGTAGTCATTGGATCTTCATTAGTTATTTCTGGAACTTGATCTTCAGTTTTTTCATCAGCATTTTCTTTGTTTGCTTCGTCTTCTTCGGCTAAAGAAGAAAAATAAGGCTCAAATATTATTCGAATACTCCCGTTTTTTCTCACCTTGTTGGCTTTCCAACTTGAGATTCTTTTTAAGTAATGTTGCTTCACTCTCTTCTCCTTCTACTTGCGCACCAGAAACATTTTCATCCTCAGTAGCTACTCCATTGGTTAATTCAGACATTTTTTAAATAAAAATTTAGTGAAGGGACAAATAAAACTAATTTAAGTATAATGAAGATTTTTTGGTTTAAAATTTAATGAATTAAAAAAGGTCAAGTTTAACCAAATGTGATTGGTTTTTAATGCTGTCAATAATAGCACTCTATTGTTTAAATGAGAAAAAAATCACTTGAGAAAATTTTTCTTTCTTTTTTAATTTTTTCGGGCTTTAAAGCCACCTGGACAGGATTAACTTACTAAACAAGTCAATCGGAGAAGATTTTTTTAAAAAATATTTAAGAAACTCTCACCAATTTTCTTTTTTATCCTCTCTCACAATCAGAAATATCTCTTAAAAGCTATATTTATCTAACATGATACTCTCTAAGCTTGTAATTTATACGCCCACTCCAACCAAAACGGCTGTGGCTCACCAGGTGATCCCAAAAAACTTTTAAAACTAAATCGATACATTGAGCAAAGGGGATGGAAGGGGATTGAGAATGATTAGAAAATAGGATTGAGAGAACGGTGAAAAAATTTAAAGGGGAAGGATAAGATATGCCAGCTGGGAAGATCTTGAACACCATCAAAATTATTTTTTTAAAGGCTATGGAATGCTCATCAAACAATTTGAGTGAAAAGAATAGCAGCTGACCCGTTTCTCCTTCCTTTTCCTTCATTTTTTTGACATCAATTTGATCAATTGATGCATGGATTTGAACGTTTTTGTGTACTGTTCACAAACTTTAAAAAATATGCGGTCAAAGTCCTACGATTATTTAAGTTTGTTTTATTATTTTAAAAAGAGTGGAATGTGAAAAAGTTTAAGTAAGACTAAAGATAAATACCAAGAATTTAAGATTTATATTTAAAGAATAGAAATATTTTTATTAAAGAAAAAGACTAAGGGAAATCTTAAGAAAATTTAAAAAAGTTTAAGAAATGAAAGTGACAATAAATCAAGTCAACTGACACAAGATCAAAACCATCATCATTTTTTAGAATTTTAATTATTGTTACAATTGAGGGAGTGTTAAATTGTCTGACGAAGGTTTCGATCTTGTGAAAGGATTTCGATCTTTTAGGGGAATCTTAGTCAAATAAATACAAGCAAAAAAGAAAATGTCGTTGATCTATGTATGTTAGATTTTTTGGGGGTCATTCCTTTGCCCTGAAGACCTCCACCCTGCGAACTGAAGGGATTAAAGGCAGACTTGGAGGGAATGGGGGATATCAGTGTTGGAGATTTTTTAGAGAAAAAAGAGGGATTTGGAAAGATCAAATGTGGAATTTGAAAATTACAAAAATGTTCAATTTTTAATAAAATCAACGACATCAACCATTACAGGCCATATTGCAAAACAAAAAAAAAAGAATTTTAGTCAAAAATTTAAAGGGAGCATATAAGTTTTCAGACAAGAAGTCAAACCATAAAATTTACCTCGAAACATATATAAAGTCGTTAAAAAGATGAGTAATACAAAAATAAGACAAAAATAAAGACAACCTTTATATCACACAAAATTTACTTTGCTTTTCTTTCCTGAATTTCTGATCTTCCCAAATTATTAGTAAATGATGTACTATTATTTGAACCAAGTCCCAAAGATGATCTGCTAGCATCTCCAACAAAAAATGCAGAAAAAGCAAAAAGAAGAAAGACAATACCGCCAATTAGAGTTACTGAAATGAGAAATTAAAAAAAAATTTTTGAAGAAGTCAAACCAGTCCGAACAGATATCCGTTGAGCTAATAATCGTCCACCTAGCACAGCAATTCCAGTACAAATTGTATGACCAAGAATTCCACCAAGAATAACTCCTTTAAAAAATTTGAAGGTTTAAAGGGGTATCTTGTTTTTAAGGTAAGGTAGTAGACAAGGGATGTCACGGGTTAATTACCTGAGATACTCAGTTTTTCCAATCCGAAACCACGATTCGAGAAATTTTCCAAAATCCGGCCCGAAACCCTGAAATCCGTCCAAAAAGCCAGTGACTCCCTGGTAGTGTAGGGGCTTAATTTTAATTGAATGAAAAAATGCATACCTACAACATCCTCTCGTGCTCCTAAAATGATTGTAGTTAATTGAGAGCGATCACCCTAAAATTTAAAAAACAATTTAAAAAATAAGATTAAAATTAGAAAACTAACCCATTCGGCAAGAAAAGTTAGTATAAAAGATTTTACAAAAAGAGTTGAAATAAATGAAATAATGCGCCACGCTGAAGAGCTTTAAAAAAATTGGGTTTAAAGACAAAAAATTTAAAAAACAAAAACCTCTGGTTTTTATCTTCAGCACCTCCCATTTCTAAAGAAGAATATTTTGTTGATTCCATGTCCAATTCTTTTCTTTGAATTTCAGCTTGGGCTTCTTCTTGTACCTGAAAAAAAAATTTTTTTTTGAAATTTTTTAGAGTTTTTCTGAAAATTAAACAAACCTCTTTGCTTTCAGCCGCAGACATATGCCAAGCTTCATAAAGCATTTTTAACCCAAAAAGAGCAAAGAGAGCTGTAGACATGTAGAAAGTAAACCAATAAGGAATTAATTGCGCAAACCATCCCAGGCAAGCAGAAAGAACAGTCATTAAAGCAAGCGCAGATATTGCACCAGAAAAAACGGTCAATCTTGAATGGCGCATTGCCAAAATCTTTGAAAAAAATTTGATAGTTTTTGAGGAAAAAAAATTAAAGAGAAAAAACAAACCGCAGCAATAAACCATGTTTTGTCTCCAAGTTCTGACACTACTACAACTGATAAGGATGCAACAAATCCATGGTAAAAGCCAAGATTGTTTGAAGGGGAATAATTCATTTTTAATTTGTCGTATATTTGTACAATAAAAATTCTGAAAACTCTTCAGGAAAACAATCCTAAATTTCTAAAAAATTTGAGAAAAATTTACAAAAAATCCACGAAAATTTTTTCAATTAAGTTTGGCGTTTTGTAATTTAAAATATTTTTTCGACCAAATGACAAATTTTGCCTTACTGACCGAAATGGTCCTAGACATTAATTGGGATATAATGTCTCATTTAATTTACAATTTCCGGTGAAAATTTGTCTCGAGGTCGGACAAATTTTATTAATTTTTAGAAATTTTCAGCACATGATTAAATAGTTTTTCAGAGTTGGAGAAGTCACAATAGAAGAGGATACTTTTATGCAATACAGGAACTACTTAATATTATTTTCTTCTGATTTATTAAAAATATTAATAATAAATGGGCCAAACATTAAGTGAACCAATAACAGTGAAGGATACAGCTTCTTGTTCAAATGCATTGTACAGCATTGGTATTTTTTAAAATAATTTTTTAGCTTATTAATTTTTCATTTTTTTAAAGGTTCTTCCTCAATGCAGGGCTGGAGAATTAGTTTTGTGAATATTTAAAGAAAATTGGTAATGGTATAGTTTGTGGGCCTTATACTTATTTATAAGTTGTTGGGTAATTTTATATGTTTGTTGGGATTTTTTGTTTCAAGAAATTTCTGTTCTGTAAAACTTGAGGAGGAAAACGGGCCCGTAAACTACCATTTTTATCGTTTGTTTGTTAAATTCGATTAATAAAAGGACACAATAATGCGTTAAAAATTATAAAATAGTGCCCATAAATTATACTATTTCCTTTAAATTAATTTTTATCAGATTAAAAATTTTTTTTAAGATATGGAGGATGCTCATGTTCACCTTCTGGAATTAGAAAATGATCCAACTTCAGCCTATTTTTCTGTATGAGACATTTTTAGAAAATTTTGAAATTTTATTTAAAGGTATTTGATGGCCATGGTGGTTCTCACGTTGCCAAACTTGCAAGTCGATACCTCCACAAACAAATTGCACAATCGGAAGCATATCGTAAGGAGGCTTGAATTTTGAAATAAAATTTTGCATTTTTCAGTTCAGGGAAGAATATCTGATGCATTAATTGAAGGGTTTTTAGATTTTGACGAAAGAATGCTTGAAGATGACGGCTTGAAGGATGTTTCTGGAAGTATGATTTTTTAAATTTTTTTTTGATTAAATTTGGGCTTAAATTTGAATTTTTAGGCACAGCAGTTGTTGTACTAATTAAAGATAATTGTATATTTTGTGGTAAATTTTTAAGTTAAAATTTCCTCGTAAATTTGTGTTTTTGAGCAAATGCTGGTGATTCTCGTGCTGTTGTTTCTGTCTCAGGTTTAATTATTTTTTAAATTTCTTTTACTGTTTTTGTTTTTCAGGTCTAGCCGTTCCATTGAGCATAGGTATTTACAACTTTTTTTAAATTTTGTTTTAATTCTTTTTCATTTTTAGATCATAAACCATGTATGTCTTCTTTTGATTTTCTTAAGATAAAATGATTTAAAATATTTTTAAGCAAATGAAGAAGAAAGTAAGAGGATATTTGCTGCTGGTGGATGGGTAAATAATTCATTTTTATAATTAATTTCTATGGAGATTGGAAATTTTTAAAACCTTGATTCATAATTTTGGTTGAGCCCCTTGACCTTAGTTGAGGATCTTAACCTTGAATCAAGGAAAAATCAAGGACTGGATCTAGGCCTATCTCTATTTTACAATTTTCTTAAAAAAATTATTTTTTGCAGGTAGAATTCAATCGAGTAAATGGAAATTTGGCATTGTCAAGAGCTTTGGGGGATTTTGCTTTCAAAGCAAACAAAAATTTATCTGCTAGAGAACAAATTGTGACAGGTTTATAATTAAATATAAAAGCTTATTTTTGGTTTTTTTAAAGCTTGTCCTGAAGTAGAAACTTGTACAATAACTGTAGAGCATGAATTTATTATTTTGGCATGTGATGGAATTTGGGATGTTATGACTAGTCAAGAAGTAATTGATTTTTGTAGAACACGTCTTGCCTCTGGATCTTCGCCTGACCTCGTTTGTTTTATTTTTTTATTAGAGGGAAGTTTTTACAATCTGTAAAATATAATTATTACATTCCGGAAAAGTTTTTACAATTTGTAAAATATAATTATTAAATTCCGGAAAAGTTTTACAATTTGTAAAATATAATTATTAAATTCCGGAAAAGTTTTACAATTTGTAAAATATAATTATTAAATTCCGGAAAAGTTTTACAATTTGTAAAATATAATTATTAAATTCCGGAAAAGTTTTACAATTTGTAAAATATAATTATTAAATTCCGGAAAAGTTTTACAATTTGTAAAATATAATTATTAAATTCCGGAAAAGTTTTACAATTTGTAAAATATAATCATTAAATTTCGGAAAAGTTTTACAATTTGTAAAATATAATTATTAAATTCCGGAAAAGTTTTTACAATCTGTAAAATATAATTATTAAATTCCGGAAAAGTTTTACAATTTGTAAAATATAATTATTAAATTCCGGAAAAGTTTTACAATTTGTAAAATATAATTATTAAATTCCGGAAAAGTTTTACAATTTGTAAGATATAATTATTAAATTCCGGAAAAGTTTTACAATTTGTAAAATATAATTATTAAATTCCGGAAAAGTTTTACAATTTGTAAAATATAATTATTAAATTCCGGAAAAGTTTTACAATTTGTAAAATATAATTATTAAATTCCGGAAAAGTTTTACAATTTGTAAGATATAATTATTAAATTCCGGAAAAGTTTTGCAATTTGTAAAATATAATTATTAAATTCCGGAAAAGTTTTACAATTTGTAAAATATAATTATTAAATTCCGGAAAAGTTTTACAATTTGTAAAATATAATTATTAAATTTCGGAAAAGTTTTACAATTTGTAAAATATAATTATTAAATTCCGGAAAAGTTTTACAATTTGTAAAATATAATTATTAAATTCCGGAAAAGTTTTACAATTTGTAAAATATAATTATTAAATTCCGGAAAAGTTTTACAATTTGTAAAATATAATTATTAAATTTCGGAAAAGTTTTACAATTTGTAAAATATAATTATTAAATTCCGGAAAAGTTTTTACAATTTGTAAAATATAATTATTAAATTCCGGAAAAGTTTTTACAATTTGTAAAATATAATTATTAAATTCCGGAAAAGTTTTTACAATTTGTAAAATATAATTATTAAATTCCGGAAAAGTTTTTACAATTTGTAAAATATATTACTAAATTCCAGAAAAGTTTTTACAATTTGTAAAATATAATTATTAAATTCCGGAAAAGTTTCTACAATTTGTAAAATATTTTATTAAATTCCGGAAAAGTTTTTGCAATTTGTAAAATATTTTATTAAATTCCGGAAAAGTATTTACGGTTTGTAAAATAGGAAATGGGTCATAAAAATGGGGGCATATAACACAAGAGTACCCTTTTTTTTATATTTGTTTACGACTTTTTTTAAAAAGATTTGTGAACAACTTATCGACAATTGTTTGTCTCAGGATTGTGATTTGAATGGCCTTGGATGTGATAATATGACTGTAATACTTGTCTGCTTATTACAAGTATTTTAATAAACCTTTTAATAAAATCTATATTTTAGGGTCGGTCACAAGAAGATTATTTAAAACAACTTCAGAAAAATGTCACAACAAGAGCAGGTTTGTTAAATTTAAAATTTATTTTTAAATTAAAATTATTTTAGGTGCTACACACGAAGAAATATTCTCTACTCCGAGCCATTCTCCGCCTACAGCAGTAGTTCAGGAAGCTGATATTGATTCTGGGTTAATTGTTCCAGTTGAAAGTGTTCCAATTGAGAGTAATTATTTAGACTATAAAAATGCTTATGTCAAAAATTTTGGGAGTAGTAAATTGTAAAAAATTCAAAAATTTATATTTTTATTTATTAAAGCTGAAACAATTCCTATGGAGCAATCCGTCGAAGAGGAAACGAACGAAATCTCTGAAAAGGTTAAATAACATAATAAAAAATTATATATCTGTCTTGTTTATAGGATCAACTTGCTGAAAATGATGGTACTGATGGGACAGAAGGAACTGATTAAAAGTATTTTTTTATAAATCCCATTTTTCAATTTTTATATTTAACATTTTTATCTTTCTAGGTTTTCTAATAGTAATCGATGTAGAGATGCTATACAAATTTTTAAAAAATCTTTAATAATTTAACAAGATATTAATAATTAAAAATTTCCAAAATTCTGAAAATCTTGTAGCATCTCTTTTCGATTTCTTTGAATTGTACAAACAATAAAGCTGTCTAATCATTTAACAATGGCCAAACAATCTCTAAAAAATTGGAAAATTAAGAGTTTTAAGATTTAAGTTAAACCTTCCCAATTTTCCTCCCAACATTTAAAGTCCTTTCCTACATTGCTTTTTAATTCATTAAGTACCTGTAAAGTACAACTAAATCGTTTCTTAAATTTAAAAAGGTACCTCATTTTTAGGAAACTTTTCTGAAATTCTTATTATTGCTAGTTCCAATTCTTCAGCCTTATCAAAGAGTATTCCATTTACTCCATCCTTTACCAATTCGGGGATAGCAGGAAAGCGTTTAGCCAAAACTGGCAGTTTTGATCCGAACATATCCACAACCTAATTAAGTTTACAACCTAGTCAATTTTCAACAAAAAATACTTTCATGGGTAAGTCAAATCCTGATGTTGAAGCATGTAAGCAAACGCCAATATCAGCACAAGATAAAATCTAAATTTATTTTTATAAATTTAACCTTTAAACAACCTTGGGATAATCCTCAGCCTCTAACCAGTCAGTCAAAATAAAAACGTTGTGCCATCGAATGGTGCTAATCTTCTCCAAATAAAGTTGTTTCTGTGGCCCCTTACCACTTATAATTACAAGAAGTTTGGGCAATAAGTGACCCTTATCACTTTGGGAATATTCATCGTAACCAATCAAGGCTGTAAGTAAAATTGAAAAATCTTCGTCGGGTGTCCAACTTTGAATAATTTAGGGTATTTTGGATCTTTAAAAGATTTTTACCTTGTGCTAGAGACCATAATTAATGGACGATCCTCACGTAGTGTTATCGCTCCCTCGGGTGATTCAGTAAAGAATAAATCTAAAAATTTAATTCTAAAATTTCGGACTAGAAAAATTTCTCCAACTTTGAAGTTTTGATTCTTTTTCGGCCAAAAACTTGTTTAAAAATTCGCATTTTTCTGATGCTATTGATCTATAAAATTGAGAAAATTAGGAAACAAAAATTTTAAAAATAACCTGAAAAACCAACTTGGAGGTCTGTCATACAAAACAGTTGAATTTATATTCCATCGTTTAAGCAAATCATTTTTCATTGTATTAGAAACACATAAATTTAAGTCGGATAATCTCCCACAAAAACCTTCAAATCCAGCAATTAATTGGGATATACTTAAATTAAAAATAATGTTTTCTAGTGATCTATGAGAAATATCTAGAGATCGGAAATTTTAAAGAAGCTCGACTTTGATTCTTGGATTTTAGTTGAGGACCCTGACCAAATTTTTGACCTTAAATCAAGAATAGGGCCTTAAGTCAAGACATTGAGTCAAGAAATACATCAAGGTCTGGATCCATATCTAGGCCGATCTCTAGAAATATAAAAAAACCTGGATTTACCAAACATTGAAAAAGTATAATTATGCCAATCAATTAGAAAAAACATTCCTTTAAGTTTGGCAACCTTAAGAAAAATTTTTATGAGAAATAAAATTAGATAAAACATACAATATAGCAAACAAAAATTGTTGGAATTCCAGGAGGGTTTTGGAGGAGGAGTAGATTGTTTTTATCCTTCCCATCATTTTTACAAATTCTTATTAAAGCAATTCCAAGAATAAAAAATATCCAAATGAATTTTAAAGGTAATAACAGGAAACGTAGAATTTGATTATTGTTTGATAAAAATGAAGGAGGTTGTGAAATTGGGGAAATTCTAAAATTAAAGGGATTAAAAAAAGAATAAAAATTAACCTGATATTTTCATGATTAATAATCTTTGGATGAGGTTTTGAATTTAAATAGCCAACAATATTTACTTTTAATCCATGCGAGGCAAGTGAAAAGGCATGATTACACGTACGTGGACTATGACCTATATCACCTATCACAACAATTGTAGCATTGCGCATATTATAAGTGATTAATCGTTGGTTGTTGTTGAGCAGCTGTTGATTTGTTGGAATTGTTGATAAGAAGTGGGCGTTTTGAACTATTTTTGCCGCGTTGGCAATCTGAAACATTTCATTTGTCTGTGGGACGATTTGGAAAAATTTGTTCTATTTGGCGAAACGAGTTTAGGTGAAGTGAAAATTTGATAAGCATTTTAGTCAAATTGGAAATAACGATTTGATTTTTGTTGATTTGTAAAATTTGCAAAATTTTTGCAGCTGCAATTTGTTAATTTTTTAATCAAAATTTTTTGATTGTAAATCTCATTGACTTATGTTTCTATTAGTAATCATCAATATGTATTTATGTATCTTTAAATTCATGCACTTTTATATCATTCTAATTTTGATTTTAAGATAGCAAATGGATGACCCAGAAATTTCTCCTAAATTGGACCCTGGAGATTATGAAGATAGATATCCGAAGAGAAATCGTAAAAGCAAGGTTTGATTAAACTAATTAATACTAACAATTATTCGATAATTTTAAGATTGAAGATTTAAGTTCACTAGAAGATGCAGAACTACAAAATTACATAGCCGAGAAACCCACTAAATTGCCTTATGATATTGATGAGATACTTACTTCACCTGACTTTGAATATGATGATGTTGTTAAAAGTATTCCTGTTGAAGGTTGTTGCTTTATATTTTTTAGAAAAAATAGTTTTTGTGTTTTTAAAGACTTCACGATGGATTACATTAAATCGACTGGCCTTACTACACCACTTTTCTTTTATGTTCCACCGCAAAAGCTGGGAATGAAGTAATGAACTTAAAGTAATTAGACTTCTAACCTTTAATCTTTAGTATGCCTGATCCAAACAATTTCACGGTGGATGATGTTTTAGGTATTTTTTATGTCTTTGGCTTCTTTATCCCATTTTCTAGAAAATGTTGGCAAAGACAGAAAAATAGAAGTTGTAGAAGTCTGCACGCAAAATGGGCGTTTAATGAACTTGAGTGATTTTATCGACTATTACAAGTTTTTTTTATATTTTCTATTCTTTTAAAGACTTCAATTTAAGGACGCCTGTTCAGGAGCGTAAAGAATTATTTAATGTGCTTTCACTTGAATTTAGTTCAACACCTTTGGCAGATCTAGTATAGTTTTAAATATTTTCTAAGTTTTTATTTAAACTTTTTAAGGTAAGTGCTCCTGCTTTTGTACCAAAAATAGACTGGATTGACAATGTATGGCCAAAGGAATTATTTAAACGTCAGGAGAATCTTTTGAGTAAAAGTTCATGGGCACGCGAACAGGATTTTTCAACTTATCCAAAAGTCCAAAGGTTTATTTTCTTTTTGTATTCTTTTCATTCTTTGCTTCAGATATTGCTTAATGAGTGTTGCTAATTGTTTTACTGATTACCACGTTGATTTTGGTGGCACCTCTGTTTGGTATCATATTTTAAAAGGAGAAAAGGTTTTTGTTTCCTCTTTCTAAATAATTTGCTTTGATAATTTTTTAGGTCTTCTGGCTGATTGAACCAACTGAAGAAAATTTAAAATTGTATGAGGAATGGATACTTGGTGGCAGTAACAATTCCTGTTTTTTCGGCAAAATTGTAAATAAATGTACACGACTATTTCTTAAGCAAGGAGCTACGCTGATAATTCCTTCTGGTTTGTTAATTTTTTTTAGTTTTTTCGAAATGGATTTTTTATAGGTTGGATTCATTGCGTTTATACACCATGTGATTCACTTGTATTTGGTGGAAATTTTCTTCATTCATTTTCCATGCCAATGCAAATACGGGTTTCTCGTTCTGAAGATAGGATAAAGGTTAATAATTTTTCTAAAAATAAGAATTCAACATGCATTTTTATAGATTGGAAGCAAATACAGATTTCCTCACTTCAAACAAATTTTTTGGTGTTATTTAGCCAAGGTGGTAAAATTAGCGACTGGGCGAGTTTATCAAAAAATGCCGACTGTAGAAGCTTTTGTTGATAAGGAAATTGATTTTGAGGTTAAATATTTATTTTAAATGGGGATCTGACTTTAATTTAGATTGGGCTAATGCGTATGGGATTCCCTTTTTAATAGTATTATTAATTTTAAGGTAGAGAATGCAGAAATTGAACAACTTCAAAAGAATTCAGAAATTAGTGCTGACAATATTTTTTATGATAACATTGGAAATTCAGAAGATGTAAGCTTGTTTAACATTAAAACGTTTTTAATACATATCAAATTTTAGGGAACATATACATTCAACCCTATTCAACTTAAATTTGGTGATCAAGACCCTGATCTATTTATACCTTCGGAACATTATGATATGGGTTTGACATTTTAAGATTATATTTTTATGAAAAAACTTTCTTTTAAAGAATACTTGCATTCACTTTCACCTTTTGAAATAAATGGTCTTCATTCACTTGTCAGATTTATGAAGCGCTTATTAAATTCAAAACAACCTGAAGTGATTGAAGGAATAACTCGACCAGCTCATTTAATTATGGAACTCAAAGTTTTTTTAAATTTTCATTTTAATTAGTGTTTTTAATTTTCTAGGCTCTTTTAAACAAAATCAATTCATTGGACCAATTGAATTTGCGCAAGGACATTGAGCTATTTCAGAAGAAGTCTAAAATATGTGGATTTGCAGAGTGTACAATTGACAATAAAAATCTATTTCACGAACAAATGGTATGATAATTTTATTGTTTAAAATTTATTTCTTTTAAATTTGAGGCTTTGGATGTACAAGTACCTCGTAAATCAAAAGGTTTTTTTATTTTTAAATTAATCTCAATATTATAAAATTAATTATAGCAGCTCGCCGAAACATTTTGAAGTTGACAAAGAAAAAGCAAGAATCAAATCAACCTATTTTAGTGGATGGATTACCTCTTCCTACATTAGCGGCAGCCGAAGAATCCTCCGGAAATGGATATAATCCTATTGCTCAAGTGGTTAAACTTGGACATAAACCAATTGCTAGTGCTTGGCGACGTTCATCCAATGTATCAAATTTATATTTTGTTCTTCTAAAATTTATTTTTTTAGATGGTCAAAGCTTTGCCATCAACCTCAGTTTCAATTTTGAAAAGAAAATCATCTGATTTTGAGCAACCATCTACTACTGAAAGTGGTGAAACTTCTACTGCTGATTCAAATTTGCAAATCAAGACAGATCTCAATGAACAACCAATGTCTTCAGCTATGGCTCAATCCTCAATGGAATTTAAAAATGCTTCAGATGTAAAACCTGTTGTTCCTAAAAGTTTATTTTTTGCTCTCTATTTAAAAAAATATTTTCCTAAAAAAATTTAGAAAACAAAGCTAAATTCAAAATTACTCGAAAAATTATTGAGATGCATGATGATTCACCTGAATTTGTACATCGTTCACCTCTTCAACGTTTTACTTCTGTTTGTCAACCAAATAACAAAAATTCTACGAACACTTTTGAGCAACCAGCAAGAGTCAATAATGCTAATTGGAATTCTAATAATGTCAAGCCTCCTACTGAACAAACTCAAAACCAACAACAAGTTTTTCAAAACCAACAAAGTTTCGCTCCGCGTAGAACTTTTAACAACCGTCAAAGATTTGAATCTGGATCACGATGGAATGATTCATATAATAATGATGGACATGATCAATATAATAACTTTGGTGTTCATTCTTCCTTTCAAAATTCTCCATTTTATCATCAAGGAGGACGAGGTCAACAAAATAGATTTAGTAGGCCTTCAGGTTTTTTTATAATTTTGGTAAAAAAAAATTATTTTTATTTTTAAGAACATCGAAGACAAACATTTGAGCAACCAGCAAGAGCCAACTGGAACTCTAGTAATAATAGGAAATATGGTGACAATTGGAACTCTAGTGATAATTGGAGAGCTGGTGAGTGGGTAGCTGGTGAGAGTTGGAATTCTAACGATAATTGGAAATCTGGTGACAATTTTACCTCAATGGATCAATCATCTGCTGTTGAAAGAGTTGCGGAAAGAGCTACTACACCAGAGAAGAATGATTATTTTGAGAAACGGAATGATATACAAATCGAGCCAAAGCATCAGCAACAACCAGAAGAGTCACAGCCAATAGATACAGCAGTTAATGAACTTCATCAAATTACTCAAATGTATTTTTGATTTTGTTAAAATTTTTGAATAAATTCTCTTTTTTTAAGAATGAATTTTCCATGCGGTGCATATCCCTATTCATCTGTGGATTGTGTTAATATTGCGCATATACCGCTTCCGCCTTCACCAAAAGCTGAGTTTTTCCATACTCCATTTACTGACAATAATAGTGTTTCAACTTCAACAAATGTTTCATCAGATCCATTTACAGAGGTTGATCAACTTGCACAACTAGGGCAAATGATGCATGAATATTGAATAGAGGTTAAGAATTATTATGAGGTTCTACTGCGATACTATAACAAATTTTTAGTATTTTTTTCAAAGAATTAAAAAAATAGCAAAAAAGATTCTTTTTCTTTAAAGTTTTTACCAAATTTTATGATCAAATCTCACCCCTACTATTTTCAAATATTATTATATTTTTTCTATCAAGTTTATAATATTTTATTTATCAATGATCATTTTGTAATAAAAATTATTATTATTTCTATTTTATAATTTAATATTGTTGTATCGAAACAATTTGAATTATCTTTTATTTATTAAAAATTATTAAAGCTCTAGGATTAACAATATTCTTAATAACAAAGTTTAAGCTCTTATTTTAGATTTGGACTTTGTTGAGAATTATGGTTTCGTCTTCGTCCGATGAGATTTCTCGTTCAAATTTGGACCATCTCTTTGAACCATTGCGGTTGTTCTGCTTATGCGGATGTTCTGCGATTATTGTTATGTCTCCTTCCTCGTCATCAAGTGCATAGTTTCCTCTGAATTTTTCTCTGAATGCTTTGGTATTTATTTTTGTTATTTTACCTGAAAATTGTGGGTCCATCTGAACTTGTTGAAAAATATGCTGAAGAGATGAGTGATCCTCGAGATGAATCATTGTCATCAAAGGATGTGAATCTTTCCTCCACTGTATAATAAGATGAACTACAGAGAGAGCAAAACAAATTCTGACTAGAACTTTGCGAGGATGTCGACGTATGTGGACATGATGGACTTCCATTGAAGCTCTTCAAATTTTAGTTTTGAAATAAGATTAAAATCGTCGATGACCTGTCGAAGAATTGGCCCCTCTGAACAAGTATCGAAACCAGAATCAGGCCGTAAGCAAGTGCTCTCTAATGAAAGGCAATGGCTCGCCATCGGTGTGCGAATTGGAATAGTTATAGGTTCAGGTTCATTACGTCCGGTTGAAGCCCTGTATGAACATTCTTCTGAACTTTCACTTTCTGTTGTTCTTGCTGTGCCTAAGGAGTTCTAAAATTTGAGTTTTGAGACAGTCCAGTTTTTTTTCTAACCAATCTTCCTTTGCGTCTCCAGAATTTCTGCATTTCGGAAAAACCTCCAATGAAATCAGTCCGTGGTTTGAGGAGCCATTCATGTGAAGACATTTGCTGTAACCTTAAGCGACGTTTTGGGTCCGTTTGAAGGCAATTCTCGATCAGAGAACGACATTCTGAGAGTTTATTTGACTTTGTTCTGATTGAGCACGTACCTTTAGAGATGTAGCCAGGAATACGGATTTTTCCAGCACAAATATGCATCACATTTTGGAACGGTGGATGACCGATTAGCATTGTATAAAGGAGAATACCTTTAGAATTGATATATTCCTAATTATTTTTCCTTTACCCAAAGACCAAACAGTTCCTTCTAATGGCAGAAATCGTTGTATTTCAAAAACCTCAGGTGGGCAGTATGATTTTGTGCCATGAAATTGTTTGGAAATGACTCGATCCTTGAATTCAGCTGCTCCAAAATCGCATAGCCACGTCTTTCCTGTGTCCATATCCAAGATAATATTTTCATCATAAAAAGGTTTTCGATTGGGTCTAACACTAAATGATTTGCGCTTACTTTAACATCTCGATGGATAATAGAATGCCGATTGTATAAATCAACAATGGTCCTCACAATCTGTGAAAAGATTTCGTTTGCCACTTTCTCGTTCAATCGTCCAGCTATTTTGATCAAGTCGAAGAGATCCTTTTAATTTTAACGATAAATTAATTATTCGTAGATTTTAAACGTGCCATAAAGTTTTTGGGCCTTTCCATAATAATTATAAATCCGTTCTTGCTAAAAATATATTTTGTAAGTATCTACGGATTTTTATCACCTGCTGAACCAATCAACGAGACGAATGACACCCTTCAGAAAAATTTTTTCCTTTAGCATCATTTATTATTTTATGGTAGTTTACCTCACAATCTTGGCATATTTTTAGGAGTATAATTTCCTTCGGAAGAATTATTCCATGGTTCAACGTCCAGTTTGTTACTTGTCGATATCGAACAAATTTTACCGCTACAGGCAGGCAATCAACAATTCGGTAGCCCGGAAATTATATTAATTTAAGACTTTCAATACTTGATTTTATTAAATCATCTTACTTGATAAACAATTCCGAAACCACCACCGCCTATCTTGTCCAAAATTCTGAACAAAAGATTTTTTATTTTAAAGAAATCCTTCCTACTTGTATTGCTTCCGGAATTCTTGTAGACGATTTTCTGACAATTTTTGTTTGATCATTACTTAATTATCTACTTACTTTTCGGGCGGAAACAGCAACCAATTTGATGAAAGAGGCATATAATAAAGTTGGAAATACGACTAAACAGACCTAATGCCATACATCAAACTATACTAACTTTATTTTTGGTTGATGAACAAAATTATTAAAATAGTAGATTTATTTTTAGTGATCCAGGAGATCTTTACATTCTTTTGATCGATTTCCTTCTTTTCTATTGCGTTTGAAATAAGACCTTGCTAAAAACACCCACTTTCTTTTTTACTCTCTTGTTTTTTTGTGATTTTCTTGTTTTATTTAAGCCTCATACTTTTAGTTTTTCAAAGGCCACGATTTTTTGCGCATTGAATGATTAGGGAGAATGAAAATGAAAGGAGGGGAGTTGGTGTTTGTGATTAAATGATTCGGTTTCATCTTTCAAAAGTCTAGAGATTAAGAGGATTTGAATGTAGGCGTATTTTTTGAGAGATTAGCCTCTCCCAAAATTTTTGGTTACGGTCGTTTTTAAAATATAGATTCGGACTCGAATGGATTAAATAAGGAAATTAGAGTCGCATAAATAAGAAAAAACGGCAAAAGAGCGAATAAAACATGAGAGAGTGCGAGACAACGAGAGGAAATTTTTATCGGTGCATTTGATCCCTTAAAACTGCACTCAACTGGTACTTCATAATTTATGTTCGAAAATCAAAAATGCCAGTCAATTATTTGCTCAAAGTTTTAACTGAAATTTTTTTACGTCCTTTAGAGCCAGACGCTCAATAAAAAATTCATTTAAACTTAATTTGTTTGTCTAATATATTTTAGTTGTTAATCCTTAAATTGTTCGTGTTCTTTTAGTGCATTATTTGTTAAAAAATAATTTTTTCTTTTTTAATTTTAGATTTTAAATATTTTTACTTAATTTATTTTTTTCTTCATCAAAAATGCTTCCAACTCAACAACCAGGCGTCAGTGTATCAAGCGCTCCTGCATTATCACCTAATAAATCAATTAAACAACGACAACGCCAGAGGACTCTTAATGAACAATTGGACCTTTTAGACAGACAATTTTGTGTGGAAGTTGATGTTCAGATGGCAAATAGAATGGATTCTATTTCTGTTAGCACGCCGTCTTCGAAAGACTTTGTAAGGTTTTTAAATTAATTTTTTCGGTACTGCTCCGTTATTCCTACGGACTTTTTTGCGGGTATTTTCTTCCTTGATAAACTATTCTCTCCTCAATTCCAGTTGCAGGAGATGGTGAATCACGATTTAGACCCATTTGAACATGCCACAGGGAAGTAAAATCGAATTGAGGAAGGATTAAAATGTCCGCAAAACATAATAGTGATAACGGCTTAGCAATTTTTTCATGTTTTTTAGTATAAGCAAAAAGGTGTTAACAAGATGTTTTCTAAATCGCTTGATGGTGTTTTTCAGCCTGATGACCTTTCACAATGTAAGCTTTAATGATTTGAATTTCTTGATAATTTTGAATTTTAAGCGCCATACAGCCCACCGACTAAGACTTCTCGTATTCAAAATTTCTTTCGTTATTATTCGCCTAATCCAGTTACTCAACATCAGGCTTTACACAAGGGCCATTATGGAGGTTTAATTTTTAAAGAATTTTATACAAATTTTTTTTATTTTTTAAGGTAAACACTCTCCTTTTGATTTTTCCACTTCAGCACGTCCATCAATGACAAATGTTATGCATGCCCAGCAGTCTAAATCAATAAGTGATTTTGGACCTAGTTCTTTTGGATCAAGAATTGTGTTGATTCCTCCAACAACTGAAAATGCTGCTGGATGTAAGACTGCTCTTTTGATTAAAAACGAGGTATTCTTTAAATAAATTTGGGAGGGTGTCAGTCCTAAAAATCGAAAATATATTTTTAAAAAATGTATGATTGCGTGTTTCCAGAGAGGTGTTTGGGCCAGAAAAATTATTTTGCGTGTAAAAAGTTCCCTCCGCTAAGTAAACTTTTTTTTGTATAATATTATTGTAAACAAATATAGCTACAAAATAAGGCAAAAAAAATTTTTTTTATTAAATCTACGCTATCCCTCATCCATTTTTTCTTCCCATGTGCGTGCGAATGCGGTCCTCATTTCCTCTGTCGATCAATAACATTTGGCCTAGGTTGGCCGTTGGCCTTAAAAAATATATTCTTCGGCTGTTGTTTCAATTCGTTAGTTTTCGTTTCGGTAAGAAGCTGGAAATTTTGTCCTTAGGTTAATCTTTAGTTGGGTAAGAGCTTGTCATCTTTTCCTTTAGTTTCCGCATTATTTCATAATATTAATGCTGCATCCCTCCTAATCAAATAAACAAACTAAAAATAAATGATGTATTCACGTGCATTCACAGGCACAAATATTTTGACCTTTTCCTATATTAAAAGGAATCCCGACCGTTATCAGAGTTTATCACAATTCCCGACCCTTATATTATTATTTGTTATTCACTTGTTTACCCCAATCTTGACCTGTTAATGTCCCCTATAAATACTCATCCAAAATGGTCATTCATCTTATCTTAATATCTAATTAGAAGTGTTTATGTGAGTTCTGGCCAGACTCTTGTAATTGTCCCCTTTCCCTCTTTTCGCTATGTATATATTTTTATTTGTAAATAGTTAAATGTAAATAAATAATTTAAAGAATATAATTTGAATAATCCTCGAAAGGCTTCGGAACCCAATCCCAATCAAAAAATCAACTAAATGGAAACAAAAAGTCTGCTCTGCAACTTGAAAACAAAAAAGGAACTCAACTAAAATCGCTGCTCTTCTACAAAGTGTTTGACTGGATTGTAATAAAACCCCTTTTAACATTTATTGCTAACTATCCAAATTTCACCTCACTTTGTTTTCCGTCTATTTACCAAAAATTTTTCTGTACTCATGTAAAACAACCCATAACCCTTTCTTTTTCAACGTAATATCCCTATAATTAATTTTTCGGAGAATTTGGCAAAAAAAAAAGCTGAAAAAAAAAAGAAACATTAAAGAAGAAAACTAAAGAATAATTCAAAGCGAATTATAGCTTTTACAATAATTAATAAAAGTATACTAGTAATTTGAAAGCCGTCGCCAAGACGAGAGACAATCAAAATAAAAATTAAAATTTTAAAGATAAAGCTTGGTCGGAGTAAAATTGTAAGGAAGTATTAAAAAAAAAACCGTCGTTCGGAATTGTACGATGAGGAAATTAAATTCTTAAATCTTGTAGAATATTAAAAAAAATATATATTACATTAATAAAATAGCCTAAATTACCCTCATTTTAAAAAAAAAAATTAAACTACAATTTTGAACGTGGACGTTCAAATAAAGGGGGAAGGAATGCTGCATCCCTCCTAATCAAATAAACAAACTAAAAATAAATGATGTATTCACGTGCATTCACAGGCACAAATATTTTGACCTTTTCCTATATTAAAAGGAATCCCGACCGTTATCAGAGTTTATCACAATTCCCGACCCTTATATTATTATTTGTTATTCACTTGTTTACCCCAATCTTGACCTGTTAATGTCCCCTATAAATACTCATCCAAAATGGTCATTCATCTTATCTTAATATCTAATTAGAAGTGTTTATGTGAGTTCTGGCCAGACTCTTGTAATTGTCCCCTTTCCCTCTTTTCGCTATGTATATATTTTTATTTGTAAATAGTTAAATGTAAATAAATAATTTAAAGAATATAATTTGAATAATCCTCGAAAGGCTTCGGAACCCAATCCCAACAATTAAAGATCGAAAAAAATTGAATTTCAGTTATCACTTGATACATTGAGTAAAATTGCTTATATTAGCATGTCAGCAATTTTTTCTTCGACCAGCTGTTTTGTTTTAAGAAAAGTTTCCAAGATGACATGTTTTTTCCTCTACTTACCGATTTTTAAATATAATAGCGCCCATTCTCGTACTCGTATTTTCACATTCTTTTACTTTATATCTCTGCACTCCCGACAACTCCCGGCCCCCTTCCTCCCTTCCTTTCTCGCCAGTTGAGAATCGTCACTGCTCACGCGTTGTTGTTGTTGTCCTTGGCATTTCACTCCTCTATATTTCATCTATTCATTCCGCTCTCGCTGCTTTATTCTTTCCCCCCTCTCGGCAATCTACAAAAAGAAAGCAGCAATATTAACCCGTCGGCGTTGCCCTCACCTTTCATCTTTTTTTTTCCTCTTATATTCTCTTTTTTATTTCTTTTATGCTCCGCACATGTGACCTCTGGACCTGACGGGGGGTTTAGTTTTGGAAAAACTCCCACAATTCGGCCCATTTTTTTAAATTTCGTTTCCTCCTCATATCTCTGCTTTTTTTGAACATTAGATGATAATTTATCAGAAAGACAACCGCTTCAAAATATCTTATTTCTTGTTGATCATTCTTTAAACGACAAATTGAACAGTGTGTTTTATTTGTTACTACTTTTTTTATTCTTTCAACTTCGCAAGGGAGAGATTTACACACAAACAATCACCAGTACGTTTAATCAACAGAAATCAAAAAAGAAAATAAGTCGCCTGTGGTGGTTGGGTGCTTTGCTACATGTTTGGTAACAACTCGGGAAAAGGCAAAGGTTCGATCCGAAAAGCTATTTACAAACAACTAGCTCGGCCAAATACTAGTGCAAACGAAAATACATCCATTTCAACAACAGATCGAAGCTGTCAACAGGAGCCTAAGCCGCGCCCTCCTTCTTTTACATTTAGCAGTCCATCAGGGGCAAACGTTGCCGCTGCAAATAATTTGTCAATGGTTGGAACTCTCGCAGTTTCTTCACCGGCAGCAATTGCTAGTGATGGTAATATTTGATTTTAACGTGTCGAGGCTTCTTTTTTCACTTGTTGATCCACTCCTTTTTTCAGAAAATGCTTCCGGCATGAATATTCCTTTCAGTGACAGAGCAATCCCTCCATCTTCATCAGCACCTGAAGCAACAGTAGAACGGCAGAATTTGTTTCTTCATCCAAAACAGTTAAATAATGGACACCAAATAACTAGGGTTCCATGTCATCAGCAACATTATAGAAGCATAAGTGATTCACCAAAATATGTAAATACTGCAGGAAAAGCTTCTCTTTTGGCAACAAATTCACCAGTTCCGCTTCTGATCCCATTGGGAAATAGTCAGTTTTTTCTCATTATCTTTCCCTTTTTATTTTTCCATTATCCACGAGGTGGATGATGATGTTTTTTTTCTTTCCACGCGTGCGTTTCTCTAACTCTTCTATTAATCTCACCAGAAATGGAACGAACTGCGGGAGCGCCACTCAGTGCACGCCCAACTCTCCAACACAGATCCAGTCTCAATAATTCGTTTTATTCAATGCGACCTAAATCAGCAACGGGTCCCAACATTTTTCTGGCCACACGCCTTGATCATCCAACAGTTTTCGATTTTGAGGACTGGCACACTTCGCTTGATAAACGTGAGAATTTATTTTTTAGGATTCCTATTCAAATATGGGTGACAGCATGCCCGAAATCAATAAAATTTTATTTGGTTAGAAATTCCTTTTTTAATCCTTCTATTTTTGTAAAAATATTTTTTTAATTCAGAAAGTCAGGAGGCAGTTTATTCACTCTTTATGAAAGCCCATAAATGCTATGACATTGGTTTGATTTTTATTTTTTTAAATATTTTACTTTATTTTTTTAGTGCCTACAAGTTCAAAACTGGTTGTTTTTGACACACAATTGCCAGTCAGCAAGGCTTTTTTTGCACTTGTTTACAATGGGTTTTTTGTATTTTTATTTTTAATTAACATTTAATTATAAAAGGGTCCGCGCAGCTCCTCTTTGGGACAGCAGTACTCAGGAATTTGTTGGCATGCTTACTATTACTGACTTTATTCAAATTTTGCATAGGTTTGCATTAATGTTGACTTGTCTCTAAATAATTTATTTTTGAGATATTATAAAAACGATCAAATGGAAGACGGGGTAAAGCTGGAGGAGCACAAAATTTCAACTTGGCGGGATATCTTCAAATCTGACTGTAGTCTTAGGCCATTTATCACAGTTGATCCTACTGAAAGGTTTTATAATTCCCTTTTTTCTATTATTCTCCATTTTAGTCTTTATCGAGCTGTTCAACTCCTTTGTGAACACAAAATCCACCGGCTTCCCGTAATGGAGCACTCAACAGGCAACATTTTGTACATTTTGACGCATAAGCGACTTATTAAATTTCTTCATTTATATGTAAGTTGTTAAAGGTTTAAAGATTTTCAAAAAAATTTTTAAGATAAGTGACTTGCCTAAGCCTGCCTTTATGGATAAAACACCTAAAGAACTTGGCATTGGATCGTGGGAAAATATTCTTACAATAGACAAATCTACTCCACTTATAGAAGCAATGAAGACTTTCCTTTCAAAGAGGGTTTCTGCTCTTCCTTTAATCGATTCGGATGGAAAAGTATTCATAATTTTTCTATTAACCCTTTAAAATTATTTTTTTCAGGTTGTTGACATTTACGCCAAGTTTGACGTCATAAACCTAGCGGCCGACAAGACTTATGACAAATTAGACGTTACTGTTTATGAGGCGCTTAAACAACGTTCTGAGGTTTTTTTATTGAAAATTTTTTATTAAATATTTTTTTTATTTTTTAGTGGTTTGAGGGTGTTCGAAGGTGCTCTGATAAAGATTCATTAAATCGAGTGATTGGTATGAACTTTTAATTTTATCTATTAAATAATATTTTTAAAGATATTCTGGTGAAAGCAGAAGTACATCGATTAGTGGCTGTTGACGATGAAAACAGAGCTGTTGGCATAATCTCACTTTCGGATGTTCTTCGGCATTTGATTCTCGAGTTACCAGGCAGTAAAGACATTGAACGGCAGATTGCAAATGCAATGGGTGCTCGAGAACCGTCAGACACTGGAATTGTAGATTTGGAGTCAAGCATAGAAGACGTTCATGTAGCGCAACGGGTTTAATGACATTTGGAGCATGTAGTCATTCTCTTAAACATGTTAAAACAGCCAGCACGTAACCGGAAAAAAGTTCGGAAAAATTCAAGGTTTACTAATTTGTTTAATTCTTTCCCTCTCTTTGGATACTTGGGTAGTTTGGATACGTGATGGTTTATTTTTTTCAAATGACTACAGATTTTAACTTTACCCACAGCTTGCCATATCCTGCAACCTGTGAATGACCTCGCCAAAAAATATTTTAGGGCTATTTTTTATTTTGAATATTTTTTCATTCCTTTATATATTTAAATAGCCTGTTTCTTTTAAGTAGCGGGATTTATTAATTGTTAGAAGTTATTTTGTTTTGCTTTTGTCTAAAGTTTATAAGTTAGTTCATGTTTTGCTGCTGAACATAAAATTTTGCATATCCCTTTAATTAGTTTTTTCAATTTAAAATTTATATTTGCTCAAAACGTGGGTACTACTGAAGAAAAGGGTGCTTTTTCTGCGGACTTATTTTGCGGACTTTTCCTTTCTTTTAAATGTTTCTTTTTTAATGTTTTGTTTGTCTTGCTTGTAGCAAGTTTTGCTTGTAGCAACTAACGGTCAAAGGATTGATTTTTATGTCAATTTGAAAAATATGTGTTCACCATTAATTTGAACATTATAAACGTTAAAATTGACTTTAACTATATTTTCAATTACCGGATGATGAATTTCAACAATGGATCACTGATCTCGGAATGCTTCATAGAAAAAGAATATGTGATTGTGGACAGAAATGCGGGTAATTTCAAACCTTGTCCCCTCCCCATTATTTTTATTACCTAAGATTGTACAAAATGGTCAGATTTCCTCCTTCCTCTCTTTCCTCTATTTAAGCTTGGCATATTCAAACAAGAGACATTGTTGATAAAGAGAAGATTAATTGAGTTGTTCAATATTGAGTTCATTTTATTTTTTCAGTTGTTCAATATTTTTAAATATAAGTAAGAATGTAATGTTTTTACACAGAAATTCATAATGTTATACACCAAATCAATTTTATTTAATTCTTTTTTGGTTTAAATTGTTTTCGAAGGCAAAAAATAAGTGTATGACTATGTATAAAATTAATCTTCTCTTTATCAATGTCACTTGTTTGAATATGCCACAGAGCAAATAGAGGAAGGAGAGGAAGAAGAAAATCTGACCTTTATGTACAATCTTAGGTAAGAAAAATAATAGGGGGGAGGACCTTTGACAGTTAGTTGCTACAAGTAAAACATTTAAAAGAAAGGAAAAGTCCGCAAAAAAAGTCCGCAGAAAAAGCACCCTTTTCTTCAGTAGTGCCAAAACGTGAAAATAATACACAATCTATTTAAAATTTTCATAAAATAACTGGTCATTTTTTAATTAGAAAATCTTCAATACGAATCTAGAAAAAAACCTGTGTAAAAGTACATAGATATGCAAGAATATCAATATTTCTAACGTTAAAAATGGTCTAAATCACCACTCTGCCTCGCCATTACTTTTATGAAAACAATAGTCTTTGCCTTTTATTTGCATGACCTAAAAATTTATTAAAATTGAGGTTGTTTCTAAGATACTTACTCCATCTTTTAGAATAAATTTCCATTTATTTCTTGCTCGGTGGACCTTTAAATTAATTTTAAAAGGTTGTTTTAGTTTAAGAAAACCTTTTCAAATTGGCAAACAACAACATTGTCAGCATCAAAGAGTGTATCCAAATCCTCGTCATCGCTTTGGTCATCATCTGAATTTAAAGGTACCTCTTCTTCCGCTGGACTTTCTTGCTGTGCCGTTTCATCTTCCAAACCAGCATATCTTTTCAATGGATCGTCTTCCTGTTCTTCTTCTGAGGAACTAAATAAATTTATTAAAACTAACCCAAAATTAGTAAATAAAAACCTGTCAGTCATGCCTGGACCTCCACCATCAAGTTGGGGTAAATGTTGATTTGAATTTTCCTTCTTTGTTGCAATTTCTTGTACAGGTCTTCGAAAACTTGGGTTTCCTGCATTCTGTTGTAAAATTAATTGAGCTTGGCTATCCAGACTAAGTTGCATTTGTGGATTAAGCAGAACAAAATTAGGGCCATTAGGTCCTTCAATAATCGCACATTGTGAGCCTGGTGGCAATATGCCTGGCGGAAATTGCACTGCTGCATTGAGCATTTGTGTAGGCAAATTTAATAACTGCACAGGGTTCTAAAATTCTTCTTTAAAAAATAACACTTGAGAAATAACCTGAAGAGGAGCAGGTAGTTGGGGTAGACTTTGCTGTTGTTGTTGCGCCGAAACTGCCAAAGTTTTTTGTTGTTGGGAAGCTGTTGTTGATGTACCCTGCACTTGCTCAGACGAACTTGGACGCTGAGAAGTCCCAGGCGTCTGATCAGAAGTGGATGGACGTTGTGTAGAAGTCTGAGGTCAGAAAATAATTTTTAAAATATTAAAAAATTAAAACGTTTTGCGTAGTATGATGCCTGGACTGCTTTGTTGGAGGCGGCTGTGCTGGAGGTGGTGGAGGACGGGCATCCAAATCGACTGCTCCACTCGCTTGTATTTTGGTTTCCCAAGCCTTAAATTTGTCTCAATTAAAATAAAAAATGAAAAGAACTTTTTTTAATTGTTGTAAGACTTCAATATCAATGCCTTCGTCCAAAAATGCTTCTCTAACCTGACTAACAACATCACTGATTACACCACGGTAAATTTCCTCCTAGATACAAAAATTAAAAATAAATCTGGAAAAACTACTCACAACTCCAAATCCTTGCTGCGTCGCCATTAAGTCACTAAAAATGAGAAATATATATAGTGAATTACAATTCCACTGTATGATTGTTTCTTTGTTTCTCTTATCACGTTCTCTATTTTTTTTTCCGTGTCCGGACAAAATATCGAATCGTTAAAATATGGAATAGGCTAAAAAAGGGTTAAAATCTCGAATCGGGTAAAAAGGGGTTAAAATCGCGAATAGGCTAAAAAGGGGTTAAAATGTGGAATCGTTAAAATATGGAATGGTTAAAATATCGAATAGGCTAAAAAAGGGTTAAAATATGGAATCGTTAAAATATGGAATGGTAAAAATGTCGACACGGCCAAAATCGATCAAAATGTCGAATTTTTTAAAAATGGCGCCAAAACTAGAATCCGGGCGTTACCGTAATACCGATGGTATTTTTCGGTATTCCGTGTCGGTTGTACGGTACGGAATCCGACCGATAAAATTTAAAAGCTGATCGGTATTTTTCGGTATTTCGTACCGTATACGGTAAGGTCAAACTTTAGGTCTTAACTAAAAACTAATGCACACCACTCTAATTTTTCCATATCAGGATCGCGTTATGTTTTCCGGATCCGTACGATCATGCCGGACCGGATCCGGTCGATTATGCTTGATTTATCCGGTCCGGTTTTACTCGGTAAAATACAATGAACTCTGGCAGAAAAGATTGCGCCGGACTACGACATAAGAGACTTATCAATCAACTTATCATTAATAAGTTGATAAGTTGATAAAATCATCTACAATCAACGTATGGCACTCATCTGACCCTTTTTTAAAAGAATTCGACATTTTGACAGATTTTGGCCGTGTCGACATTTTTACCATTCCATATTTTAACGATTCCATATTTTAACCCTTTTTTACCCGATTCGATATTTTAACGTTTCCATATTTTAACGATTCGGTATTTTAACCCCTTTTTAGCCTATTCGCGATTTTAACCATTCCATATTTTAACGATTCCATATTTTGTACCGGAGCCTTTTTTTCTCTCCATAGCGTGTCGGTTGCTATAGTCGAGAAATCTATACAGTAACTATTGCGCTCTCAATATTCAGCACTCAACCGCCTTTACAAAATACCTGTTAGTAAAAAGACCGGGGCAATAAAAGACCGAAAACAATAATTGGGCTATAAGACCATTAATTAAAAAACAGGAGCATTAAAAGATCGGAAACAATAAACGTGTTAAAAGACCGAATAATTAAAAGACCGGCGCAATAAAAGACAGAAACGGCCGAAGAAGTTAAAAGACCGATTAATTAAAAAACCGGCGCAATAAAAGACCGGAACGGCCGAAAGAGTCAAAAGACCGATTAATTAAAAGACCGGCACTATAAAAGACCGGAACGGCCGAAAGAGTCAAAAGACCGATTAATTAAAAGACCGGCGTAATAAAAGACCGGAACGGCCGAAAGAGTCAAAAGACCGATTAATTAAAAAACCGGCGCAATAAAAGACCGGAACGGCCGAAAGAGTCAAAAGACCGATTAATTAAAAGACCGGCGTAATAAAAGACCGGAACGGCCGAAAGAGTCAAAAGACCGATTAATTAAAAAACCGGCGCAATAAAAGACCGGAACGGCCGAAAGAAGTTAAAAGACCGATTAATTAAAAGACAGCCGCAATAAAAAACCGTTAAGGTTTAATTAAATTTTTAAATTCCAAAAGATCAACACCATACTATCAAATTTTAAATTCTAAAAGATCAATAACGTGAGCAAATTATACTTTATACAAACTATTAAATGTATGCTCTTATTCTAGAATTTTATTCAAAATGAATATGTATTCAAGTTATCTGCACTAAAAATCGAGTACATCGTTCATTTATTTTGATCCTCTCAAATTAAATCAAGAGACAGAAGTGATCCCTCTATGATCTGGCGGTTCCAAATCTGACAATGCCATATCAACCCACTGAAAAATTTAATTAAAATCTTAGAGGAATTCTTGAAATTACCGCCATTGGTTGATGTAATTGTAATTCAAGCCAACAAGGAGTCGATGTAACATCCTTTATTGTGGGAGATTTAAAAAGATAAATTAAAAAATTTCCCAACCTGCCTGTGATAATCTGCTCCCCAACCCTTTACAAACGAAAGTCTTACAAAGCACATTTTTTGTAATTCATAAACGTGTTGATATCCATCACTTTTTGCCTTTTCTAGCATCTGATATTTAAAATTAAACACCGTACTTGTTCTAATATAAGCCTGGGCTTATATTTTTCAAATTCCTTTGACTGGGCTTAGATTGGATTAGAAATGAGCTTCCATTAGAGCCGGGCTTATATTAGGACATTTACATTATTTATCAAAAAGAAAACTTACACCCCCAAAGATCAAATAATCGAATATCAACTATAAAATTTAGAAAAAAATTTCTAAGCATTATCTCTTCAATACCATTGATGCCCCGCCAGGAGGCACGCGACAAACTGCTGTCGCCTGCAACCCGTACTTGAAATTTGCATTCCTCGATTGTACAAATACGGCCGAATCGGATTGATTGAACTTCAAATTTTTTTATTAGATTAACCTTTTAAAAACCAACCAGTAATACTCCATTATCGGTACAACTAAGCCGAATTCCTGAAAATTTTAGAAGTAGATTTAATCATAACTATTTTTAACTAACCCATTCCAATATGACGACGTGTATTCTCAATCGTAAAATTTCTGTTGACATTTGAAAGGAGACCAAGACAAATGCCTGGAAAATATTCAGGTAAGTTTAGTGGCCCACCCCTAGAAATCAACACCCTAGAGGTCAACTCCCTAATGTCCAACTAAAAATTCGGACGGATAGAGGACATAGGATCTGGACGGATAGAGAGATGAGATCAAGAGTACGCTGGCCTCCCTTTTTCGACGGTTGCACAAAAGAATTTCAGTCTTCTATTCCCTAATCCCCTTTATCTGCCCAAATATTGGACCACACAACGTTCAGGGTCCGTTGGCCAATGGGGAGTTGACCTCTAGGGTGAGCCCAGTTTACTGATAATGAAAAAGGCTAACGTGATTCACTTGAAGGATCAGTAAATCCATCTATTACTACCGTATTAACGGAGACCTGTAAAATTTATGTATTTCTATAAGAAAATTTCCATTTTCTGACCTTGAACGGCTCCCCTACTCTTGTATTTAGTTCATAGTAACAAATGGAACACCAATAAACAGGTTGTGGACGAGCATAAGTATTTTTAGCGATTATGGAATGCGAGGATATTGTAGGTACTAATTGGGACAAATAATCATCGTCATCGCTGAGTGCAGAAGGTGAGAGATGGAAATGACCAATTTGCTGCAAATGCCCTCCCTGTTGGTGATTTTGTAAGGTGGAATTAGGCTGTCCAGTAGAGAATGAAGATGAAAAGGATGAAGAATACGAAGAAGAGGAAGAGCAGGAGGAGGATGAAGCACAGCCACATACAGCACTTTTTGATCCAAGCAAAGAAGAAAGCGAATTTGGGGGAGGAAGTTGAGGAGTGCTGGAGAGCAAGGACATTTTGTTGCTCAGTTCTATTTTTCCTGTATTTGGTTGATCCACTCGATGATAATGATAGGGATTAATACATATCTAAAATTTTATTCATGATAGTAACCCGTAATCTCCTATTATTATGCCAACCTGTTCACTTCGTGCATCATATGGAAAGAGACAATCTTCACTTGTTTTGAGCTCCTTAAAATTGCTTGTCCAAATATTAATTAGAAAATTTATAACTTGATGTGATTGCAAATTAGGCCATCTCCAAACACGGCAATATATCACGTGTGGCAATCCTTTCCTGTGAGAGACTTGTAAGCGTCCGTCTAGTGAGCGAGGGATTGTCACACATCTGTGTAGTAATTAAATATTTTAGGACTAGCAAAAAACCTGCTACGAGAACCAGGATTTGCTAGGGCGTACTCCTTTAAATATAATTATTTAGATATAATAAATGCTTATTCCTCACCAAATCTTCAACAGTGCCATAGCAATGATTCTTCCGCTTCCGCATCTTCTTTACCAAAGAGTCTACAGCTTTCAATGCCCATCTATCTTCTTCATCTCCCAATTTCCAGCCTAATAGCTTTTTAACAGCGGGATCGGGTGATGAGAATATGTTCATTTGGAACAGAATCAAGGATTAAATTGTCAGAATAAAATTAAGATAAAATAAAACGCGAAAAAACAGTATTTAATGGCAACCAATTCTGAAACGGCTATACTGAAACGGGCTTTACCATTCGCTATCAGATGTGCCATTAGAGTGCCAACATTATAGTGCCAGCCAGCTTTGATACGCTATAACTTTTTTATGTATGGCCCAATCTGAATGATTCTTATATCATTCGAAAGCCCTCGATAAGAGGTATCTTTTACAAATTGGATGGATAAAGTTTGATCATCCATTAAAAAGTTACACCCCGATAAGTCCAATTATTTGACTTTTTCACATTTATCGGGTTATAACTTACTTAAGATTGGTTAGACCTGATCCATCCAGTTGAAGAAAAGATACTGCTTATCAAGAGCTCTCGAATGATATAAGATTCATTCGGATTTGATCAAGCACAAAAAAGTTATGGACGATCAAATCTGGTTGGCAATTAACTGTCGGCACTCAACTCGCCCGTTGCGAAATATTCGATAGAGGAGGTTTCATAGCCAATTCAGAATTACGATTTTAGAGAAACTGTAGTTTTCACTACAAAAAACTAATTCTTAGTTATCGGTTTTAAATACTAGAAATCTAGATTAAAAGTGAGTTTTAGAAAGATTAAATAAAAGTAGTTGAACATTCTTTGATAAAATGGTGCCTATTTTTAATAATGGAAATTACAATTATATTTGGAGAAGGAAGAAAATAATTACGAAATAAAATAGTCAAATTACTGATAACAGGAAAACAAAAGTCAAGAGTATTTGTTGTATATTGATCAAAAAATATTGGGCAAAATGACGTTAGGAACGAAAATGTCCAGGGTTTCTTCTATCCAACAACCATATTTATATGGCTACCAGCCGATAGTACAAAGAAGAAGCGATGCGCAATAAATCAGAAAAGGGGCAGGACAGATGGAAAAATGGCAGAATTGTTTGTGTAGATGTTTTTGTATTCAAATAAAGAACATTTTACGGCATTCCCCGTTTGCAGTGTAAAGGAGGCCGCGTCCCAAAAAACACAGCAATTGAATGGGAACCATCAAAAAAATCACTGCATTTGCATCGAAAAAGCAATAAAAATAGGAAATAGGGTAGGCGAATTTATTTTTAAACTAAAAAAGTCGTATAATTAAATAAAGGATATTTCTTTCTAATTAATAAAATTCATCTTTGTTGAACAATGAAAAATAAAAATAAATTAAAGAATATTTTATGGAACCAGGATCTGCGCAGAAAATAAAATCCACACACACATTTTGAACTTTTTAAAAATAAATTTTATCTCACATTAAATCACCTTGAGGCGATATTCATTAACAAGAGAATAAGTCTCATGGAGGTCCATAGCATGGGCACTACTGCCAACAAAAACCAGTTTCCGATTTCGGGAATCGGGACGGCAGGATCCCTGGTCCATACAGAGGTCCTTCGCCTTTCGCCGAATTTTCGCCTTTTTTAGTGTTTCGCCTTTCGCTTTTTACATCCGTTTCTTCACACTCCTGGTCAATAGGTATATTTTTTAATTGCTATGACACAATGCGAGTTTATTACGCAGTTTCAGTCGAGAGAAGAAAAAAGGCGGTAAACTCTTTGAAGATTAAAAAGCTTGTCTACTTTTTTTCTTTCCAATACCGAGGTCAAATCATTTTAATTTATTCTTTTCTTAATTAACTGATAAAGCTGTGTTGGAAAGAGAAAACAAGAAAAAAACCGGGTGAAAAATTGGGAGAAAGGGCAGTTAAGGGGGAAGAGACGGCACTATGGCGGGCACAAAGAAAGAGGTGGTGATATATAAAAATTGCTATAAACATGAGAATATGATAAAGTGATAAAAAATTTTGTACATAGAACTATTGCTGATTTCAACGCTCAATTTCGACAGTACTGATTGAAGAGAATAATTTCGGCCTTCTTCTTTCAGTAGGAACTGAACGAACTTGAAGAAAAAATTATTAAAAATTTTTTAACAATTAGAATAACCTGAATTAGTTCCTCCAACATTGTTGTTCAATTCACTCTTTTCTCCTCCCATTCTAAGTGGCATTTTGGGAGGTACATTATTAACAACGTTGTTTGGTGGAGTAGGTGAGCAACGTCTACTACCGGGATTGACAGTTGTTGTTGTAGAAGAAGGCCCAGCTAATTTGTATGGACGTCGATTGACAATGGAAACAGTACCTCCACCATTAACAGGGGTTTTGGAACAGGCTAGCTGAAAAATGAGAATTAAAAAAATTTTTTAAATTAAAAAACAAACTGATTGTGACGGCACTCTGTTCAGTTCTCCTTTGATAAACCTTTCCACCTTAAAAAGGAAAAATTGATTTAAAAGGGAAAATGTTCCCACCTTATCTATACAAGCTTCTTGATAATCATGTACCCATCTGACACCATTGAACCTGGTTATCTGCCTTATATCATCTGGCAATTCACTTTCTACAGCTGGGAATTCAAACTAAAATAAAGAAATATTAATGTTAAGTCTAAAAATTTATTCTTTTTACTTGTTGATCAAAAATCGGAATAACATTTTTGCCATGTTCAAATGCACAATGTAATTCTTTGTGGATCCAATCTTCACAATTTGTATCATTGAGCAATCTGTCTAAGGAGTGAGGAGTTAGGACCAAAATGAAATGTTTTGCTGCTTGAATATTTTTGAGAAGGTGAGAATCGAATTTGCCCGCATAGAGTTTATCAACATCAATAAAAACTTTGTAGCCTCTTAATTGGAGCAGAACTTTTATTAAACTGGCTAGTTGGTTCCCTGTTGAACGACGATAACTAAAAATTGAAAAATAAATTTTTAAAAATTTTTAAAATGATTGCCTAATAAAGACGTCGATTTGCTTCGAAAGTATAGCTACTTCAATGTCATCAATGTGCTTACTGTCTGCGCAAATTAAAATTAACAAGGTTAAACATCATTTTAAAAATAAAAATACCTTGAAGAGCTTGCCTTAATTTTAATCTATGGATTGGATTGTTAATGCCACAAACAGATTTCATCATACTAAAATATAGCAAATGTTTCTCCTAATTTATTAAATACCCTACTCGTTAGTTAGCTGGGGAAGTAAGTTTCTATTAAGGCCCATTCCCAACATTTGATAAGTGTAAACAGAAAGCTAAAAAGAATTCAATTTTAAAAGAACTTAATTCAAACCTCTGGACTGAGCGACATTAAAAACTGATCCAAATGACTTTCATCGACACTCCTAAAATTTAAAGAATAAATCCATGCTCCTAAAGATAAATCAAAATTACCAACCCATAGTCTGCTGCTATTTTTAAGCTCTCCAGTTCACGCATAAACCTTTTTCTAAGAAGACCAGAACGCATTCCCAAGTCCTCCTCCAACTCCTTTTCTGTTAAAAGTAACAACAAATCCCCGTCCACCATGTGAGCTGCAAATGCTTGGCTAAAAGTGCCAAAACCAATCTGAAAATAAAAAGAATATTTCGTAAAGGAGTCCCAACATTTTAGAAAAATTAAAAATTATTTCAAACCTTTTCCACCCAATATTGAACATCCTTAATTGACCAGCATGGAACTTGTTGTGAGAGTTTATAAGGCACTTGCTCTCCAATAACAGTAAGTGCTTCACTTGCGAATTTGGCAGGTAACTCATCTGGACTTGAGGCACATTCTTTAAGTGCCTGAATCGCACCAATTTCGGCAAGCACCTCCAATTTTTGTTGTTCTTTTTTTGTAATTGCTTCCACACAAAGATGAAAAGATGCCCTTAAATATTTTCAAAATATTTAGAATTAACCTTCTCTCAGTTGCTTACATGCTTTTCGCCTCTCTACAACGAGATCCAAGTAATGGTAATAGTCTAGCTAACCATTCCCTAGGCCGACCTTGCGAATTTTTGTAATCTTCTTGTGCAAAAATGGCTGGCTGGTGAGAGATCAAAAAGGGTTCAACAAGAGTGAGTGTGCCAGACTTGGCAACTGCCAATTCCATTTCCTTAAATTAAAAAAAAACTAACTCATTATCCTACTTAAAACTATATCTGTTAATCACCTTAGAATTGGTAGAGGCAGAACCAAGCACACATATAGCCAAACAAGCATAGTACCGAGTAATATCATCACGCTGAGATGCTAGAAGGAATAACCAATCGGGCAGTTTTTTCTGGATTAATTTCTTTTTAGCCTCTGGGCAAGAATAAAGAGTGAGGTTGGATAAAGCTATAAAAATTAAATTTTCAATTTATTATTCTATTTTCTCACCTAATGCCGCATGCCTTAATGTTCCCGGTGTATCAGTTGCTCTCTTACACGTTAACAATATATGATCAATCACACCCATACTAAAAATTAAAATATAACGTGTTTCCCTCCCTCCCTTTTACTAACTCAATTAATTTGCTGGTAGTTTCAATTGAATGTTTGAAAAGCGCCTCCATCAATGAAAGTGACATTCGTTGTTGTTCTTGGTTTTTATTCAACTTTTCAGCTGTAGTCACTACTTTTTTCAAAAATCCCTTTAGAATTAATGCATCACAATTACTCCCAGTTAGGCATTCCTTTGAAATAGTTAAATTAATAAAAATTCTTATGATTTAAAGTAACCTCCAAGACTCGTCCACAACATAGCCTGACAGAATCAGAAATTGTTGGGCGTGTAAATAGCCCTAACAACACTTCCAAATAATTTTGCTCACGTAAATAGTCACATAAAGAATGAGCCAAATCTTGTGAAATTTTTGGGAAAACCCAAGCTTTGGTCATAACTCTGAATTGAAAGGAATCATAATTTAAAATGATAAGAGCCCAACTTTGTAGCTATAGTACAGCCCTCAAAAACTTGCTCATCTGGTCCTTGCTCAATTAGTTGAAAAGCTTTATCAACAAATCCCTGATATTTTTGTAATTTTGTCTTGAGTGTGTGCATCTGAGAAAAAATTTTTTTGGTGATTTTTAAGTCTAGAAAAAACTAAAATTACCATCATAACTTGTTCAGTATGTGAATGTTTAGTTAGTGGACCATTGCCAACCATTGTATCCTGCTGGAAAAGATTCAACCGATTTGGAGGAGATGAACGAGGGTCAATGATCGGTGAGTCCAATGGAAGATCAACAGGCAATTCACCTGTACGTGCAGGCGCTGTTGTTGACCCTTACAAGTTTTTTGATATAATAAAAGTATTTTAATAATTTATTATTTATATTGAATATGTACATTTATTTATATAAAAATATTTAGTAATTATTTACGTTCAGGCAAGTTCCTCATTTGCGTTCATTTTACGAAAAAGGAAAATAAAAGACAACCGATAAAGAACTTTTTCTTTGTTTCCCCCTTATATTTCTCTTTTTTAATTTTAACCAAAAATCACACAATTAATAGTCTAACAACGTTCGCTAAATTGTCCATTACCCCAAAATACGCGCAGTTTTTGGACATATTGCGTCACAAATTGTTGAATGTCTCATGAGAAAAAGTAAAAACTTTGAATTTAACTTCAAAAGGTTATCGAAAAATTATTTTTGCAAAAACCAAAAGAATTTAATTTAAATTTCACCTTCACTTCGAAATCGCCTATATTCCGAATCCTTTCTGCCAACACTAGCCACCCCATTACTTCCATTGAGCAGAGCAATAGACGGATCATTTGCTGAGTTAGGAGTAGACAAGGATTGTTGAAGACGGATATCCGAATTACGCTGAAATTTTTTTTATAAATTTAAGGAAAACATTATGATGATTAAAGGTTAATTTCGAACCTTTAGGGCCGTCTGAGAATCGGCAAAACGTTTGCGTCTAAGTTTAAGTGAAAAGACCTTTAACATTTTAATTTTTCTCTCGTTTGAAGGAGGAAGCTTTGAATTTATAGTCTCAGGGTTTCCAAAATATATTACAATCGGAAATGCGCGCGTAGGTGGCTTGATCAGTTCCCCGCCTACCTTTTACACATTCCTTATCTTCATCATCCAAATCTTCTTTGCCACCCACAATTTTTTATAATTTTACCACCACCCTTTTCCTCAAAAGATTTGTTTGCAGTTCCTCTTATAATAGGGCGCGTAGAGGAAAGAAAACAATTTTCATTATTTACTTGACGTCAAGCATATAGCACCTCATCGAAATTATTATAACACTTGAAATTTTCTGACCCTATCGATCAAAATTTAACACTTATTACTAAATCATTCCCAAAAATATTGCCAAAAATTTGTTAAAGAATTGCTTACCATTAGGAAAAGAAGTCTCATTATCAAGGATAGGTTACAAATTTGAACTAGGATCATAAAGAACCTATTTTTATATATTCCATTTTTATTGTCCTATCAGTGACGCTATCATTAAATTGTCACCCCTTACAATACTTTTGTTCGATTGTGCGTGGGAGGATGAGTAGAAGTAAAAGAAAGGAAGTTAAAATTACGAAATTGTTTGCAGAATAGCAGCCAAACCCTTACCCACTCCCACAATTGTTTTTGACTTTTCGTTAAATTATCATTAAAACTAACCGTTGATTCTATGGCTATAATCTCTTGCTGACGTGGGAAAAGTCTTCTATGACTATCTATGTTGACCTCACTTTCTTTTAGTAAATCTTCATCTTCTTCTTGAACGCTTCCATCATTACTTTCTTCTGAACGCCCATAGCTTCTTTCTGTTGCTAAAATTCGTTCATTAACCATGTGATTAGCGCCAGAATCAGACGTTGTTAACTTTCCTTCTCCACTCCCTCCCAACTCCAGCCTTAAACCATTTGGCAGTTTGCTTCCAGTTGGATAATAAACTTCTTTTGTTGTACTGGCTTGGCGAAAAATAGAATTGTTGTCACCCGATGGAAGATGGCGGAGGGAGCCTTTTAATTTTTAAATTTAGATTGGGAAAATTTTGCTAAATAAATACATAAATAGAATCTCGCGACTCTTTTCTTCGATCATTTTTTTATTTATCGCCGTTTTATATTTATTTGAATAGAATAAGGAAATTATATTTATTCAAGCAAAATTGATCGAAATTTGTCTAACTTTTTTTCCTTTTCTGGGCTTCTCGATTGCTAAACATTTTAGTTTAGTTTTTAATAAAATGCAAAGCCCTTATGATATTTAAAAAAATTATTTTTATTTTACCATATTTCCAATGCTGCCGTTGCAATTTTGGCATTACAGAAGATGTACAATGCGAAGATCGAGTTGGAACAGAAGGAGAAGTACTACGTTTGTTGTCAGCTGCCCTTTGTTTTTGTTGCTGAATTTCCAAATTACTCAAGGAACGACTTTTCTGTTCAGGTCCTAAGCTTAACAATCCAGCGCCATTAACAACAGAAATTGTTGTTGTTCTGTAGAAGCCATTCTGATTAACATTATTTGGAGGTGAATCGATAGCCAATAAAGGATTTCTACTGGATAACTGCCCACGACAAGATATTGTTGGACGAGCACTTTTTAAGGGCGCCACTGAATCAGAGAGCTCCTTAATTGGGATAAAATAGATTTTATAAAAATTCTTTCAAACCTCTGTTCCTCCTGAATCTCTTTTTTCGTCTAAAGCTGCTGGCAAGATTGTACGCGTCGAGGAACAACAACTTCCACCGCTGCTTGCAAAGCTACTGCCTTGGCTAAGCGATCCTAGCGAAGCGTGCATAACCGTTGTGGTCACTGACTTGCTAAGTATTGGTTGTTGTTGTCCCATATTGGAAGGAGTGTTCATGATGAAGTCTCCCTATAATGCTAACAAAAATTAAATAAAATATGAGAAAAACGTAAAATAATTTTATGAAATGAAAGGACCAAAATTATAACCTCTTAAGAAAGGAGTGGGCTCACCTCGTTACAACAAAAACCTTCTTAAAAAGGAGGTGAGCGGATTATAAAAGAGGGGTTCTCGCTAGTTTACGAATGACAAATGATAATTGAGAAATAATTTCGATTATGGACAAATTCAAGGAATATTTTTAAACTAAGAATACTTTCTAATAAGAAAACTTTTGTAATTATCTAATGAACCCCAAGGAACATCTGAATTATTTGGATGGAGTCGATTGCCCAGAAGCAAAAAAGAGAAATAAGTTGAAAACACTGGACTGAAAAGAAGTGAGAAATGCCAGCCAGGCAAGCAATGCTAATGCCAAAAGATAAAGCTAGAGAATTTCATGGCATAAACATTAGTTTAGCGACGTGTATACTCTGTCAATTTTGTTCTCTCTTCTACTTTACAAACACTTACCCCCACATTCTAATGCAAGCTGGCACCCGACTTGCTTCATTCTTTATTGTGCCATAAGCCGCCTATCGACGTGTAGAAATTTGTTAAATAAGAACAATTGCAAAAATATATAAATAAACTTATGCACCTTTACATAATATTACATTAAAGATATAGTTGCATCGAAAATTTTTAAATATTAATGTAAGAAAATAGTAAAAAATTTTTAACTGAGTTAAAAATCGAAAAAATTTTTGGTACTTTATTCATACCCCCACCCTTTTTGAGTCTCAGAATTAATCTTTCCTTTTGGGGAATCATATAGAGTCGGGGAGGTTAGAAAGTACCAAAAATTTTAATCTGCTTTTGAGAAGAATTAATCTGTTAAGCTATATAGGTAACTAAGTTTCCATAAATAAACCCAGTTAAATTAAGCTTTTTCGCCCCTACCCCTATTTGATATCAGAAAGTCTGATACTAAATGATATCTGATCCAAATAGGTACAAACATTTGAAATCTAATATGATAAACTTTTTTGGGTTATCTGTATGCAAAATTAAATAATGCATGTTAGTGGAAAATTTTTAAAAAAATCTGTTCAATCTTCATCTTGTATTCCTCCAATTCCGTGAATTTGATGCAGGCCTAGGGTAAAAGGACCACTACCTAGGAGCTGCTGGGCATTTATTCTTTGCTAAAATTGAAGTTATTTCGGTTCGGTTCTCCCTTATCTATTTACCTCATTTGAGTTTGGTAATGTTGCCCAATGTGTTGGAGTAGTCGAATGAGGGTGATCATTAATACCTCTATGCTTGAGCCTATAAAAATAATATTCAACAAAGATAAATTAACGTAAAATCTCTGATAGAAGCTATGGGCTTCTATTTTTCAATACCCCTTATTGAGTAGGTTTCTAACATGGAACGGGCTTCTATTAGGGATGGGCTTCTATTGAAGTTTACGGTATTTAGTACTCTCTCCCAATTCTTACTTTTTTGTTTTCATCCGTCTGTTCTGAAACCAAATCTTCACTTGTCTTTCAGTTAGCCCCAATCTTCGCGACAATTCATAACGCCTTTGTTTTGTTACGTAAGGATTAGAGCAATACTCCTTTAATAATAATGATTTATTAATGCCAAATTCATATGCATAATTTATCATAATTATGCTTAATTGAACTTACCGTTTCCAAATCATTGGTTTGACCTTTGCCATAAGGCTTTCGTTTTTTTCGTTGACTTGATCCGCAAGCTGATACCCAAGCCAAATCAGAACGTAAAGAGCGGTTATTTTCTGCCGATTGAAAAACTGAAAATGTTATATAGAATTATAATGAATTTGAATTTTACTTGGAAACTCAATAAAAATCTCTAGAATATGTATTGCAGATGCGGAAAAAGAAGTAAGATGAAGGTGCTAATGAAAATTCGGCGAAAGGCAAAACGTCAAACTCCAGCGTATTTCCAAAAATCCCCACCTACTTCTCTCAAAAATTTCACCAGTACCATCGATTCCGATAAGGATATAAATTAATTCTCGTCCTCCTAAATCTATTAATCTCAATATTCCCTTGAGCCTAATTCGGCTGTCGATTTGGACAAATTGCCTGCCAAACAAAAAGGTTTGCAAGTCAGTGGAAGGGAGAATTTTTTAGGCGAAGTAAAAAAAAAGGTTGTTACGGTGGAATTGAAGAGAGAAAGGATTAGTGCATTGAGGTATTGGGGCAATCCTTTGGGTGTTGTTGTATGTGCATGCATCATTTTATTCTCATTCCCGATGCCAACCTTGGAGGACCGTACACACATATTGTGAAAAGGTTCCCTTTTATTTTTTCTTTGTTTATGGGCGCACCCTCCTTTCCCTCTCCGTCTGCTTTTGTATTCTACTATGGATGAAGATCGTAAAATTTGACGAAAAAAAATAAAAAAAGGCAAAACATGAAATTAAGATCAGCAGTGAATAAACAGAATAGTTAAGGGCTGTTATTGATTCAAAAATTTGAGAGAATTGAAAAAAACTAATGAAATAAAGAAAAATTATTTCGAAAGATAAAAGCAATTATAGTTAGATATTTGTTAACAAATTTATAAAAAAATCGGACCTGTGCCACTAGTGCTAGCTTCCGCTTCGTTAAATAGATTGGCCGTTGAACAAACACCATTAATTGCGTCAGTGTTTCCAGAGTTGACGGAAGCACCATAATGTTGTTGCATTGCGGCACCTGCCGCACAAATTGCGGCGCCAGCCGCATTTGCCATTGCAACTTGTTGTGCATAATGTTGCCATTGTTGTGAGTATTGCCAAGTTTGGGCAGCGGTAGCGGCTGCAGCTGAAGATGGAATGATAGAATTGGTAGTCTGGCTTTGATCATGAGACGTTAAATGAGTGGAGTAGAATTCAGCTGCCGAAGATGCATCAAATCCTAAAGGTTCAAGTTAAAGGTTTGAGAGTTTACTAAAATCAACAAGGTATTGCTCTCCCTCTAATTTGTCATTCGAGCCTTAATCCCATTAAAATCCTATCAATATTATCGGTCATTACAGTATTAACACTGAGAAAACTAAATGGAAACCGCTACGGCATTTCTTTTTCTTTCATTTATTGATCAATGTTCTCCTCTTTATCGCACTTTCTTATCATTTTATGTACACACGTTTACACAGGCTAAGTAAAACCAATCCAATTTTCTTTTTACGCTCTTTGATGTTACCGCTATCGTGTCCCTTTTTCCCTTTCCACTAAACACAAGTAAATTTATTTAATAAAACCCAGAGGGTCTAAAAATAAACTCACCGTATTCAGGAATGTTTGTGCTTGGTGACTGAAAATCAGTTGACTCATTGTTACTGATGGTCCTGCTTCCACAAGGCTCATTCCTAGAGTTAATATTTAGTTGTGGCTCCATTTTTGATTTTGATGTTGCTTGTTCTCCATCATCAGATTTTAAAAGTAAAAGCTGCTTGCATTCCATCATTTTGTCGGTCAACTTTGTTGAAGCTTCGTTATCATAATGCTGGGAATGTTGAGGTTGATCATGGAGATCATTTGAACTGCTTAAACCTGTTGATAACGATTGCTGACCAATCCAATCGACGGCAACATTTGGCCAACATTGATTGACAGCAGCCATTCCGCCGAATCCATAATATGTAGCCGGTATATTATAAGGTGGTTGTACTGCAGCCAACATTTGTTGAGCGCCGACAAGTGGACGAATATCTAGAGGCAGAGGAGATTTTTTGTGATTAATCTAACTATTTTGTTATCCAAAATTTACTCACCTTCATTCGTAGGATTGCCAAGGGCTGCTGCTGCAACTAATGAATTGGCCCATGGATTAGTAACATTTGAATAGGCAGAATGTGCTGAAGGTATAGCAACAGGAGATTGAAAAGTGCTGCCATTTGGTAAGGAAAATTCTGTTTTGAAGCTATTCAGTAAGGCTGCTTGACAATTTGGATCTGTCGAATGAGTAATTGCTGTAGTCTGAAGTTGGGAGCTTGAAGAAGCAATTGGACTCATTGAGGCTATCGAAACCATTGGAATGAGAAGAAGCTGAAAAGAAGCAGCAAAACATGATAAAAGAATGTAGGAAATGAATTAGAATGAGGGAGGACAACCAGTAATTGACAGACAATCTTTTAATTCGCACGGAAATAAATTTTGACGACCGAGGAGGGGCAACAAAAATATGCATGGGAAACGGTGGAGAGGGTAGTTAAAAAATTAATGTGTGGATTGGAAAGGGGTTAATTGATTCGCGGCGATTGATTGTTAAATTTTTAATGCCGTAAAGATTAATTTCTTGTTTTTTATTAAGCTAGGCAATATTTTATTGTTTGAAAGATTTACGGAATTGTCTCTCCCTCCCCATAATTTAACGCATTTATGACCCCAAATAGTGATGCGCACACAATGAATATTTATGAACACAGTTAGTGGTGGAAAGTGCGGTGTTTAGATGAAAAGAATTGAAATGGATAGTTTTGATGAGGGAAACGGGACGAAAGAAAAGGGTTGTTGATGACTGTTTGATTTCGAACTCCTCCCTTCAAAAGTGGTTGGACGAAGAAATGGTGAAATGAAAAAAGAGTAGATAGAAAAAGGTGAAGATACGCCCCTAACCGTGATTGGCTGATAGTTGAGTGGTTGGATCGAGGTGCTTCACAAAGCCTTGCTTCTCACACCTATGTACGTTTATAAATAGTAATTTTCTTTTTTAACGTTTCCTTTCATTATTAATCATTTGGAACAAAAATATGATCTTCAAAATTCTTTCAAACTTCGAAATTTTTAATATTTCTTAAAATTTAAAAGAAAATCACAACTCAAAACATGTAGACAATTCCAATAGCTTATCAGCATCTTTTTCGGGCACATTTAATTATACAAAGAATAAGAATGTGTCGCTTGACCTGGCGCGCCAACTCAAAGTCAATTATGTTTTTTCTGATATAATCGCACCTTAAAAAAGATGAAAAGAATTGGCCACTATTAAAAAAATTCTCCATTGAAGTGAGCGTTAACTCACTAAACAATCAAACATCTTTTGTAAAATCTAACAATTTACTATCCACAGTTATCTTATTTAGGCCAAAATATTGGCTTTACTTCAGAACATGCGTCACATGAGCTTTAATGCGACCATTAAGTAGCATATTCTATTTTTGGTATGTAAATTATACTCTGATAGGACGCATATAGCTGACGGGACGCATAAAAACTCATTGGACGCTAGTCTTAATGTAGAACCAAAATATTTACATATTATGTGATCTTTACTTCACAGGTAACCCCCTTTTGCTTCAAAGGTGTTTTTCGCTATTTTTTTATATTAATCCGATTTTAGTTTTATTTGTTTCATTTCTTAATCCTATGAACGGCCAAACAAACAAACATTGGCAAAAGAATGCAGGCGGATTTTTTTACTTTTTTCGTTCCGACACCTTTTTGCAAATCAAGGAATTCGGTAACTCAAAAAAACCCAAACATAAAAAGGATAAATGTTTAAAATAAAGATGGCCCGAGGCAATATTTCTCAACATTTGCTTTGATATTAATGGTGTGAAAAGGATAAAACTCTAAACTGATTTATTTAGTCAATTTACTTTTATTTGAGGGAAAACTGAGGGAAGAGTAGGAAAATGTTTAATATTCACAAGATAATTATTCCTAGCAGAAAGATGAGTGGAAGAGTAAAGGAATTGACTAAAAAGCAATGAACGAACCTTTAGATTTGATGTGTGGAAATGAATAAAAGCTGGAAGGCGTTGAGGGACTGGTACAAGAAGAGGTTTTGTGTGTGGCCAAACACATTTTTCAATTTTTTGCTCACCATTCATTCATTTTTTTGTAATCGATTCCTTACACTCAATTTTTTCAAATCTAAATTTGCGCAGAATAAAATCTGAGCAAAGTCATTATTGAACACTCTTACATCGGTGGAATTAAAAACTCAGAACCCCCTAAATTAAGTACCCAAGATCAACTTGGTCAACCCTCCCAAGATCAACCCTCTCGATCCGTGCAAGACAAACAGGTACAACAAAGTTCCGACTTCCTCATTTTTATACCATTAAACGTTATACTATCAAAAGTGAATTCAACATATTTGAGCTTATTTCATTGCCCTTATAATGCCAAGTTTCAATCTAAATAACACAAAAGACAGCCGCCGATCATTCGAAATATAAGATACGGTGTTGTTGATACGAGCAGGCGGCGGAAATAAGGAAAATTCGGCGTCGGAAAACTAGTAAAGAGAAAATAGGTGTGGACAGAAATAAAACGTGCTACTCCTCGTCTCGTCGTATTTCTTTTGGGCGCAGTCATCGAGGAAATCCAACGTTAAAAGGAAAAATGAGGGATGGAACGGAATGCCTCTTTTCCTCGGAGAAAGATTTTCCCATATGCTAGCCAGTAAAAACAGTCGTAAAAAGGTGGTGAAAGGGACGCCGGCGGCAAAAATATTTTGGGAGAAAATAAAGAATAGTCCGTTAAATTAAATAAATTTTTGAGTTTATAAACAATATTTTTAGGTTATTGGAAGAAGATAAGAACAATTCTAGATCACAACCTTAATTGCAAAGAAACTGAACGAAAATTAGAGGACCTCGAGGTCACACACCTGCAATCTTGTTTTTATTGCAATTACACCATTGCCACATTCTCTTTCCCGTTTTTTAACAACCCCAAGGACAAGAAATGCTAAATCGACTTAAATTGTTTTTATTTTTCAAATATTAAAGATTTTTTTGGAAATCCCATATCAAAGATCGCAAACGCATTGATCAGTTAAACGAGTGCTTATTGAAGATTTTAAACTATTAGGGAATTGAGGAAAAGAGAAAAATAAATTCTCACGGTCATGTAAAGTTTACGATGGGATAGTCAACACAATTATGTTAAAAGAAAAACAAATTAAACCTGTTCAATTAAAAAATATAAATCCAGAATGATCATCAAAAATATTTATATATCAAGCTCCTACGCGTTCCTGCATTGACTTCATTCTTGCGTAGGGAGAGTGCAAAGATCTGAGCTCCGTTTCTAAAAATGCACGTCTTATTCGTTCTTCATCAGGTTTGTAATATTCCAAATGAGTCAAAACCCACGCCTTAAAATAATGAAAGGCAATCAATTCAGATAAAATAAAAACATACTGGATATACCAAAAAACAAAAAGTTCTAAGCCTCGCAAGAAAACGATTCCTCGTTGAATGCTCCAACCAGTACCATCGCTTCCTAAACGTTAAAAAACTCAAAACCAACTAAAATTAAAAAATACCAGTGTTGAGGCTGTTGAGGCTTGTAACGAAGACTCGTTTCAGCTACAACCTCCGTTTCCTGCTTTTTCAAAAGACTCATCTGATTTTCTAAATGATAAAGTTAATAAAATTTTACAAGGAATGTTTGTCAAGAAAATTAACAAGTCTAAAAAATAAAAACTTTAAGATAAAATTTTATTCCAGATAAAATATAATATGGAATTTAGGTCATTTGTTGATGTTTTCTTCCTGCAATTCCATAGTCTTTAGGAAATCCAATAAATCTAAAAAATTTATTTACTTATTTCTAAAAACTAAATAAAAAAAAACCTTGGCGGCGGAGGCAATTCAGAAATAGGCACAAAATGGAATCTTTGCTCAAGAGACTCCTGGCAAGATGAAATTCTAGGCGGCGGCCGAGGTGCCTCGGCAACTAATGCTGGCTGAAATAAAAGGTTTGGATGTTGACAATGAGATTTAAATTATAAAAATGACCTTATTGTTATATCCCGTGTTTTGCGATTGATGTTGAATATTTGTTACAAGAGGAGGTGGTGGCGGATTACTTGATTTTGCAGGTGGCGGAGGTGGTGGTGGAGCACCAGGTCGTTTAATAGTTGAAGGCATATTCGTTGTTCGTTTGTTAAGTTCCTGAAAGTGGTCAAAGAAATAATGATTCAAACAAAACCTCAAAGCTTCGACGCAGACCAGAATTAGCAGAAATTAGTGGGGCTTTTGCAGGACGTAGAGTCTGAAACTGTGCATTCTGGGAAATGGGCGCTCTGGATACTTGTAGATCAAGTTGTTCAGCAGCAGAATTTTGCTTTAAAACTTTTGCTGGAAGAGGTGGTGGTAGAGAGGGAGCAGAAGAAACTGCTTGCGATGCGTTCCTAAATATGTCAAAATTTTCATAAGCAAAAAACAAACAACCCCGTTACAATTAGATATACCTGCTTTTCAGATCGGCTAGAGAAGGACAATTGTTCGAAGATTTGACAGAAGGCACATCATCCTTTTCATTGACAAATTTAATTTTTGCCATGACAGGTCGACTATCTGATACTGGAGTAGAAATCAAACCGGACGATTTTTGACCTTTGACATCACTTGGTTTACGAGGAACGCCAGTTGAAAACAAGGCCCCAAGACTCTCATTTATTGTTGCAGCTTTAGGGACAGCATTTATTTTCGGTCTGTTATCTTCAGTTTTTCCTTAAAATTAAAGCTAAATTGCGCATGTATTATCAAAAATTAACCTGCAATCACTGGCGCAGATCGATCATTCGTAACAGTCTTTTTAAGACGAGCTCCACGATGTATTTCATTCAATAAATGCGTTCTACTCTCCGTCATTTTAGGTACCTGATTTGCAAAATTAGCAGGTACGGGAGGAGGTGGTGGAGGTGGAGGCGGCGGCATGGAGATGACGTACACCTAAAAAATGTATAGAATAATGTAAAAAATTTTGAAAATGGATGACGAAGAACAAAATAAATACAAAACATAAATGTGAAAATCGACAAAATCAAAGAACACCACAAGTATTTGATTGTCTTTTTTCTCCTACTCAAAAGTCCCCAATAAAAAGTACTCTATTTCTCTCTCAATAGTCTCTCTATAATGGGACAAATTGTCATTAGCAACAGATTACCAAAATTAAAATTTTTGATTTCAAATTAGTGAATGTTAAAGTGTCAACTAATTATGATTCTTTCAAGAAATAAAAAACCGGCATTGAACTTCTTGATTTTGTGTTTTGTTGCAGATTTTATTGATAGTTGTTCCAAAAATCTTTTTCGCTGTTATGGGTTCTCATTTGCGTTCAAAAGTGATAAAAGATTTAAAAAATGGGAATTCTTACTGCAATATTTGTTCGTTACAGTTTAAAACCAAGGTAATTAAAGTTTGTTTTTCATTTTACATTTATATAATTCAGGTACTCACAGCGCATTTAAATAGTAGAAAGCACCGAGAGGTTTTATCACAATCAAAGGATTCACATACTTCGATATTAGCAAAACGGAAATTATTAGATGACAACAAATCTGTTACAGTTGAGGATATATCAACATCATGCCCCAGTAAAAAGTCAAAAACTGGTATTTTATAATGTTTCTTATTTCCTTTATGTTTAGGTATAATGCTTGCTTTAATCACCTAGAAATGAGAGATTTCCCCAGTAGAATTTTGAGGGTTTATGCCACCACTTTTTGCTTTTCTTTCAGATCAGAATCCCTCTAACGGAGAGAGTGCATATAATTCCAAAACAGAACAGCCACCTTCTCATTTACATGGAGAAGGCAAACTTATTGAAGGACTTCCTCGGGGTTTCTTCGATGATGATGGAATGAATAACAGGGTTAGTTTTTTCTTTATTGTTTTATTAAGCTAATTGTCAGATTTAGGTTCGCGAAACTGTTGAGAAAACGAAACAAATCAATTCCGAATTGGAGCGGTTCTACAAGGAAGTTGAAGAGATAGAAGATCAAAAGGATGATGAACAAACTACAATGGTTTTTGTTTATCCTTTTATTTTATTTCGATTTTTAGTTTGAACATTCAACTGCTGCCAATGACATTGATTTAATTGATGAGCAAATTGAACGATGGAAAACAATTAATGAACTCGAGAAAAGAAAAGAATCAGTTATTGAACTTGCTTCAACGAAATCTGAACACAATCCAAATTTTGACCCTGTAGATGATACTGAATCGGATTTTAATTTTGACTCTATTGATTGGAGAACTAAAAATTTATAAATGATTTTTTGTTTTAAATTTTGCTTTTCTAGTTAATGCTCTTGTATTTTATTTAATATGAATCATTTATCAGTTTTTAAGGTCTGATGGATCTTTGTAGAAGATTATTCCAGAAATTTCATCTACTGAATAGACATCGTCTTAATTTGGTCCCATATTTGCTCATCGGTGGAGGTTTTATTTAACATAAGATTTGATTCACCAAGGTGTTTAGGTACGGCTAGTTACTACGCATCTTTAACTATCAGGGCAAGGGATCCGGATGCACGTGTTTTGATTGTTAGTGATGAAGAAGAGAGTCCTTACCGACGTTCTGTACTTTCCAAAGGTTTGTGTTTTATATGACGTGAGGTTTTCTTTTTAAGAACTATGGTGGTATGGTGACGAGAAAACTCCCGCAAGTCTTTCGTTCCAAAGTCCGAGTAGTGATAAACGTCGACACGTCTGTTACGAGGCCGATGGTTTCTATTTACTGCCCGAAGATCTCGACAAATGGGAACATGGAGGAGTTGCTCTTATGACTGGAACCAAAGTAGAAAAGGTCGATGCAGAAAATAATTTTGTTCAGCTGCAGGATGGGCGGAAGATTGAATATGGAAAGTGTCTTATTGCAACTGGTGAGAATACATTTGTTTAATCATTTATATTGTAATATTTAGGTAGTATTCCGCATCATAAAAGTATTCTGGAAGAAAATGCAGAACTTAAAACAAATATTTCAGTTATCTATGACGTTAGTTTTTTTTTATTTATGTTGCTAACAATAATAATCATAGATTGAAGATTATCGAAGATTACATTGTAAATTGGAAGTATTGGCAAACTCATTAGATGATGAAGCGTCGACTAGTGAATCGTTCAAAAATATTGTTATATTGGGTGGTGATATTCTTGCCACGGAGTTGGCTTACTCACTTAATAGGCGTTATGCTCGCGGAAAGCAATCAAAGTTAAGAATATTTCTGTTGGTTAATGAACTAGGTTTGAGATTAACAACTTTCTCCAAGATCATTTTTAAACTATAGGCGTTCTTGATGATATTTTACCTGGCTCGTTGAGTGATTATTGTACTCAAACTCTTCAATCACAAGGAGTGAACGTCTTACTGAACACAAAAATTGATGCATTCTCAGCAGTTTCTGACAAATATGGCAACCGAGTTCGTCTAAAAATCTCCCAAGAAAGTGAAAACTCTCCATCGAATTCGTCCAATAGTTTAGATGAACTGTTGTGCGATCATTTAATTCTTGCTTCTGGTGCAATGCCGGCAATTGAGTTGGCAAAAAATTCTAGACTTGACTTGGATAGTGTAAGCGTTTTTATATTAGTCCATTTTTAACAGATTTTTAGGATCTGGGTGGAATAATCGCTGACGAATTTATGCATGTTAAAGGAAATGTTTGGGCTGCTGGTGATATTTGTTCATTCTTTGATAGAATATTGGGCTACAGAAGGCGTTGTACTCATTGGCTTCATGCTCAAATTACAGGACGAATTGCGGGTGAAAATATGACTTCAGGAAATAAAACGTACATTCATCAGGCAGGTTTTTTCTTTTTATTACAAGGATATTTATAAAATTTAGGGTTCTTTCATGTCGATGCTAGGTCCAGACGCACACTTTTGTGGAATTGGGGATACAAATGCAAAGAAATTTAACACTACGACGGTATACGCTGTAGATGAGAGTGACTTGGAGTTAACTAATGATGAGGTTGTTTTTTTCTTGAAAGATTTTTCTTAAAATATCCAACTTTTAGCCTCGTGCAGTTGTCTTCTATACTGACAAAATAACAAATGTAATAAAAGGAGTTTTGCTTTTCAACGTCATGGGATTCGGAGAAGAAATTGCACGAAAACTCATTCGTGATAGGAAACCATTTAAAGAGACGCTAAAAGAATATTCGAAACTTTTTGAGCTCTGGGAAGTTGTTGTTGATTCTCTTAAAGAAGATAAACCCGATAAAGTTGGCTTAAATGATGATGAGTTATTGGCCTATCAAAGAGAAGATTAGTAGATGAATTGTTTTCATTTTAGTGAATTATTTTTGTTTCTTTGTTTGTTTTCAATTTTATAATTTATCAACTTACTTATTTTACTTCTCACTTCGGAATGTTTTTACATTTTAATATTTTTGACTTTATAGTGACTTCCATTAATTTATTAAGACATGGCTGAATCTGGCAAGAATCTTTTTGAAAAATTTGTGAAACGTGGTGGAGGAAAGGGTGCAGGATTAGGTGCTGGGATTTTGGCAGTTGGAGCTGCTAGTGCATATGCTATAGTTAATTCTATTTATACAGGTTTTAAATAAATTTTCGGTTTAATCAGTTTTTTTACAGTTGAGGCTGGTCACCGAGCAATAATCTTTAATAGAATTGGTGGCTTGGGAAATGAAATATACAAGGAAGGACTTCACTTTCGTGTTCCTTGGTTTCAGGTTAATTATTAAACATTCTCTAGTCCTTATCCTAATTACAACTATTCCAGTATCCTATAATTTATGACATTCGGGCAAGACCCAACCAAATACGATCACCAACTGGAAGTAAGGATTTGCAAATGGTCAACATTGGATTAAGAGTCTTATCTCGTCCTGATCCTAATCAATTGCCAAAAATCTACAGGACTCTTGGACTTAATTGGGAGGAGCGAATACTCCCTTCTATTTGTAATGAGGTAACACAAGCTTATCTAAATATAGTAATTTTATCTTAGGTTCTCAAAGGAGTAGTGGCAAAGTTCAATGCATCACAACTGATAACGCAACGTCAACAAGTTTCTATGTTAGTTAGGAAGGGACTTATCGAGCGTGCTTTGGACTTTAACCTTATACTTGATGACGTGGCCCTTACCGAGTTGGCATTTTCTCCTCAATATAGTGCTGCTGTTGAAGCAAAACAGGTTGCTGCTCAGGAGGCGCAACGTGCGAGTTTCTACGTTGAAAAAGCTATACAACAACGTCAAGAGAAAATTGTTCAGGCGGAAGGAGAGGCACAATCGGCAAAAATGGTAAAATATTATTAAAAATATTCTAATTAATTTGTTCTTTTTTAAGTTGGGAGAGTCTATGAAAAATGATCCTGGGTTTCTCAAGCTTCGCAAGGTTTATAAAGTTAAATCTAATTTAACTACAAAAATTTTTAAAGATTCGTGCAGCTCAGAAGATTTCTAAGGCTATTGCACATTCGTCAAATCGTGTCTTCCTTCCATCTGATGGATTGTTTCTGAATTTGGGTGATGATGACTATCTCGAAATCAAGTCTAAAGTTAATCGAAGCCGTTAATTTGATAGATTGTGACACTTGAAAAACTGAAGATTTACACGTTGTTATGTTTTTTTAAATTATATTAAAGCTTAAAAGTAATTTTTGTGTTTCTTTAGAATTTGTTAAGATCTAATATACTTTGTTTGAATTTGAATTTTCTTTCAATTTTAAAGTTATAGCATGGAAGAACCTGTACATATTGCTCAAGACTCCTTGTTCAGCACTAGCTCGGGTTGGACTAACTATTCAGGGTTTTTCAATCATGCATTTCTTTTACTTGTAAATTAATTTTTTCTTATCAAGTAACTAGAAAAATTTTCAGGTTATATCGAACGGCAGAGTTGCTCTTGAAAATCTAATAAAATATGGAATACTAATTTCTCCATTGGAGTGGCTTAATATTCTCGACAGTTCTTCGCCTGGAAGTTGGCCAAATTTGACTATTGTACTTTGCTCAAATGTTTCTATATTAACTGCCTTTTTTATTGAAAAACTCCTTGGTAAGCTTTCTTTAATAAGAGTAGAGCATTATTACTGTTAACTATTTAAGCGCGTGGACTTCTAGATAATGCGTCCGGTGCTGTTGTGTATGTTTTCCTTATTGGTGCTCATCTTGCCATACCTCCAGCAGCGGTGTTAAAAATAGTTTGTTTTTTTACAAATTTTGCCTAAATAAAATTTTAGAAGCATGGAAACCCGCTCTACTCATTTTGGGCTCTCATTATAATCGTGATAGAGGCATTGAAATTGGTTTCTTATGGTCAAGTTAATTATTGGCAAAGGTTGATCAGAAAAGACAAGAAAAAATCATTGAACGGTACCGAGAATGATGTTCAACATGCAAAGGTATGAAACATAATAAGAGATTTCGATATTTATTTAGGGTCTAAAACGAGAGGAAACTAAAAAACCGGTAAATGATGCCAATAACACAATTGCTCAACTCCAATACCCAAATAACTTGACATTGGGTAATCTCTACTACTACATGATGGCGCCAACTCTTTGTTACGAATTGAACTTTCCACGGACACCAGCAATAAGAAAGACATTCATTATTAAAAGGATTACAGAGGTTAATTGCAAGTAATGATTTTTATTTGTTTTATTTTTAGTTGATCTGCTTTTCTTTTGTTGGTGTTGCTCTTTGTCAACAGTGGGTGATTCCTTTGGTAAAGAATAGTTTGGCACCATTTTCTCAACTTGACTTAAAACGATGCATTGAACGAGTTTTAAAGCTGGCTATCCCTAACCATCTTATATGGCTCATGTTCTTTTATCTTTACTTTCATTCTTTCCTCAACCTAATTGCGGAAATAATGCGATTTGGTGATCGTCAGTTCTATTTGTGAGTGTCAGTTCTATTTAATTTAAATAATTTCAAAATCTAGGGACTTTTGGAACTCAGAGTCTGTGAGTGTGTTTTGGAAGACATGGAACATTCCTGTCCATCGCTGGGCGCTCCGGCACGTTTACAGGTTTTTCAAGCCGTATATTAAACGAAAAAATTCTATTTAATTTTAAAGGCCTTGCGTTCGCAACGGAGTAAGTCGCAATGTCTCCGCTCTTGTCGTTTTTATTATATCGGCTTTCTTTCACGAGTATTTGGTAATTACTTTCTAGCAATAAAACAATTTTTGATAAACGAGTAGATATCCATCCCGTTGAAAATGTTTCGCCTCTGGGCTTGTGCTGCCATGCTTCTACAAGTAAATATTTTTCAAATATAATTTTTAATCATCTGAAACATTTATAGCTTCCGTTGGGAATAGTGACTGATCGATATGTGAGAGTGCGTTCTTTTCATTTTTTGGCTTCGAATGATTAATAGTAACATTACTCTTTTCCAGGGTGGTAGAGCTGGGAATATTATTGTTTGGCTTTCGCTTATTTTGGGTCAACCGATGGCGATTCTGATGTACGTCCACGACTGGTATCTATACAATCACCCGGAAGCAACCATTCGCACTTGACTTTCAAATAAAGACATTTTACATATCAAAGACCTCCTAATTTATATAATTTTGTGATTTCATATTTTACATTTTTATATACTCGGCCATATATCTGCCATATTTTCCTAATCATAAGATAAAAACTTAAGCTAATTAATCAATATTTTGGTCGGCTGTGTTCTAGAAAAATTTCTTAAGTGCGTTGTTAGACGTCAAAACTGAGGGGTGGACTCGTCAGATATTGACTGTTGTTCTTGTTCCAACAAAAATTGTTCCACGTCTGCCCAACTGTGTCCCAAGCTAATTCCAGGAGGTACTTCATCAGAATCATCTTTGTTCACGCCGTCTAACATAATTAAATTAATTATACACGTATTGAGTTTTTACTTACTTAGAAAATTCTCGTCATCAGGTTCCATTTCACCTTCAAATGCTTCTTCGACGGGCAACCTCTCAAGCATATCCGTGAGTTCGCGACCATCGAATCCTAGATCTTTAGCAACTGATGCCAGCGAGACGTCACCATCAACAACTAACAAGTTTTTAAGTTATAAAATTAAAAAAAGATATCAATACCATTTAGATGATCATCTCTATTCGTGTTTGTACATGGGTATGCATCATCTTAAATATTTTTGTGAAGATTAGTTAAATTTTAAAATTATACCCGGAAACGTTCCCGTTGGTGGATTTTCACATAAATTTCTTGCAATTAAGACTGATCCGGATAGTTCTCTTCTCATAAATTGTGTGGGCGCGTCCTTGAAATCGAAAATGTAATACAATAGAAACGAAAGAATAACTACCTGATTTGAATGGCCAGAATTTAAATTCTGTGACATCTTTTGTTTTTCCAAGTAATGGCGCCTGCAAAATCCCTCAAAGAGTAGAGCATCCGTGGCTATAGTCGAATTTAGTGTAATCAAGTTTAGTAAAACCAAAAACCTGGTACAGCAACATTACAAAATCGCCACTTGCAATAAGCAAATAGTTGTTGTGTCACACTATAAGCAATGTGGTCAGCACAATATACAGCCCAGGGTAAACAGAAATTTTGGCAACGAGCGTTAAACAAATGCCTTTTACCGTCTCTAGTGATCTAAATTTTTGTTTTGTGAAAATTTTTTTAAGATTGCTAACCTGATGCTGCAAAATCTGCGCACACTTTTTGAAGCGATTTTCTCGTATCTTTCCCTCAAAATTTCCTCGGCCTTTGTTTACTCTTCGTATTCGTAGTGCTGCTCCCGTATAATTAACATAATGTTTGGCAGCCATATTAATTGGAATACAGAGTTTTGCTCTTTGAACAAGTCTAGCACTTTCAAGCCTCAGCTTCTTTTTAAGCAAATAAAGCTCAAGTCTGCTTCTTGAGTGCTTGTTATCATTCAATGAATTGGAGACATGATCAGAGATGTTTCGAAACAAAAAAATCTTCGAAAATCGGAAATCGAAAATCGAAAAAAATCCAAAAACATCGAAATCGAAAATCGAAAATATTTTTCAAAATCTTCGAAATCGAAAATCGAAAATCGAAAGAAAAATAACCTCGAAAATCGAAAATCGAAAAACGAAAATCGAAAAAAAATTTTTTAATAAAAAAAATAAAAAAATAAATTTTTATGTTACAAGTTGGAACTTTTGCTTGAACTCTAAGGAATTTGGGATTCCAAGGAAATCACGGATATCCAAACCCAAAATTTTGCATATCAGATTGAGATCCTGGCTCCAGAGCCGGTGATTTTCTAGCGGCTTCTTGTTATCTCCAGACTCCGAGTGTAAAGATTAATATTTAATCCTGAGATCTGTGTGGGTTAAGAGGGATAACGGAGGATTTGAGTAAACTCATAAGGTGGTACCTGGCATAGGGTTCCGGCAAGGGGCCTGCTCTCTCCAACTTGCCTGCTCCATCCATCTGGCCTGATCCCTCCAAATGGCCTGCTCCCTCCAATCCCACCTTAATTCAAGCAAATACTCCAATATACCGGAGCCGAAGCATAATATTGTTAATAGATCAGGGTTTCCTCCAATTAGCGCCGCAGGCGAAAATTTTGAGAATTTTGAAAGGCTAAGAACCAAAAATCTTTCTTTTTTGCGCCGGAGGCGAAAATTTTGATGATCCTTAAGGCAAAAATCTTTATTTTTCAGCGCCGCAGGCAAAAATTTTGAGAATTTTGGAAGGCCAAGAAGCCAAAAATCTTCCTTTTTCTGCGCCGCAGGCGAAAATTTTTTTAAGTTTATGATGGCCAATAAGCCAAAAATCCTCCACTTTGGCGCCAAAAATTCAAATTTTTCAAAAATTCGGAAATCGAAAATCGAAAATATCACAAAATTTCGAAAATCGGAAATCGAAAATCGAAAGGAAAAAAACCTCGAAAATCGAAAAACGAAAATCGAAAATCGAAATTTCGAAACATCTCTGGACATGATGGTCGTCATCAAAGGAAGGAAAAGAATCATCTGAAGAGGACTCGTCATCAGAAGGTTCAAGTCCTTAAAAATAAATTCTTACTAATTAGAAATCATAGAAAAATATTTACCCAATGGAAAAAGATCGGTCCAGTCAAAATCATAGCTCTCCACAACCCGACACATTGTATCAACCGCCCGTACTTTTCTGAAAACACCGTCTATTCGCACTTTTTGTCTTTTTTGTCGCAGTTTTATTACTTTTTGTTTTCGTTTCATCGTTGAAAAATTAGCATCAAAATCATTTGCATAATCTCGTTGAAATTTGACTAGTTCATTCTCATCCTCAGTTTCAGCAGCCAACTTTTGTTCCAATCTATCTATATCATAATGTCGAGGTATTTTCTCACTATTTATAAAGTAAAGAGATGAGGAAAGATTGCTACTAAATGTAGATGCCGGAAAATCATATTCTGTTAAATTTTGGTTTTGATGTGATCTTATTTCAGGAAGCTAATAAAATAGATAGATTATTTTTTAGAATTAAAAAAAACCGTCTGACAATTGTTGATCGAATAATGCGAAACAAATTCGTTCGATGAAACTATTTTTCTTTCTGGAGACTTCATTAATTTGGCTTCAGTTGAAATGTTTTTATGTGTCATAAAATTTGAATTAGGCCCATTAGAAATTATGCACTCATCACGCGTGTTCTAAAAGATAGTATGGATTGCTTTATAAGAATATAAAATCAACCTGTTTTTCAGAAATATGCGTTTCTCTGTGTAAAAGCTTGGCAGATAGTTGGGGATATGTTTTACTGATACAAAACGAAGTATCCTGGCTTAAACGTTTTTAATTCAATTTTATTTTAGCAAAAGATATAAACCTGCAACCAATATTATCATTTTCACTTCCCTGAAAAAAGGATCCTGAAATTAGCTAGAAAAAACAGAGTATACATACGTATGACGTAGAAGGCTCGATATTAAGCTGTCTAGTTGGTGACCTTAGTAATCGGTCAGCAAGAGGATAAAAATTATCCGACTAAAATAGTTCAGTTAATCAGCAAGGCCATAATTAAAAGCTATAATTACCCTTCTCTTGTCTATATTTTCCAAATCGTGTTGTCGATTTAAAGATATGTTTGACCATGGAATTGTTTCACGGTAAGGTCCGCCATCCTTTGTCTGTAGATTTTCAACAACTGCTGAAAAAACAGAGTAAAAATAAAATTCCATTAAAGGTAATAGTGTCGTTTCCCAGCCCCCTTTTTTCCTCCCAATTTTCTACCCTATGTTTGTACGGAATGGTCAAATTTTCCCCTTTCTTTCATCAAATTTGCCTTTCCATATTTTGCCTAAAAACAATCAAAACCTTTTTTGTGGTCAGATGCGTACCTTCAAAAAAGGTACCACATAAATAACCTTAGAGTAAAGATTTTTTTAAAAAAACTTAAAAAAAAAAGAACCTTGTCTTGCTCTACAATTTTTGGTTGTACACCGCCAACATCCATATCTTTCGTCTTTCTTAACACTTATTGTTGTTCGACCCCCACATTTGTAGCAAGTTCTCTTTCCATGAAGAAGTCCAAGCTTCTCAAGCCATGCATCGAAATCATTATCACTCAAACGTAATTTTTCATATAAATCAATAGGTTTGAAATTCTTTAGTTCTTCCATTTTTATTAATTGGGAAAATGATTCTTCTCATTACTCTAATACTTATTTAAATATCACAAATTAATCTTTTTGATTGTTTTTAGGCAAAATATGGAAAGGCAAATTTGATGAAAGAAAGGGGAAAATTTGACCATTCCGTACAAACATAGGGTAGAAAATTGGGAGGAAAAAAAGGGGGCTGGGAAACGACACTATTACCCCATTAAATAATACAATTGTGAAAGAGTTGTGAAGATTTGTGAGGATGTTGTGATTTACGGCAATTTAACATGTCTTCTAAATCTAGAGAGCTTGAAGCTTTCGACTGGAAATTGGAAAAATAAACTAATTTAATTTCAATATATCTTACACTATTGTTCAATTTTGAATCTTTCCGAGACAATTTAGGATCCTTTAATCCTTTCATTATTAGATGGGTTGAACAGTAGATCTCTGAAGATGCTGAACGGATAGCATTAGTGCAAAGGGCCTAAATATTTTATTTTATCTTAATTACAAGTTATTTTAAAAATAATAATTTAATTTTGGAACTCACATCAGGAGGATCATGTTTATCTAAATAAATGAAAAATTAATTTTATAAAATTACAATAAATTCAAACTTTTTGGCTTTCTTTTATGCTGACATTGCCTATAATTTAGTCGTTTTAAAATTTAGTTTTAAAAATTTTCCAAAACCTGTAAGGAGCACTTGGATCCAAAAGTATGTGCCTGATGCAATAGACAAAGCCATTTATAGCCCGTTGCTTACACTGAATAAGAATAAGTTTTATATGCTTAAAAAGTTAAAAAAAACCTGTCCTTTTAGCTGATCAATATGTTCGCAAAAATGTGCATTCAATTTATTGGTGTTATTTTGTACATCAATAGGAGTATGATCATCATTTGCTGAATCAAGATTTGAAGGTAAGGGTATATCTAACGTAACACTATTAGTAGCGTTCAAAATTTCTATGGTTCTTGAAATTTCACTTTTCTCCTCAACAGTGTCCATCTTAAAAAATACAAAATTTTACGAGAAAAAATTAAAAAAAAACTCATCAAATACGTCCTTAAAAATTCCTGAAGAAAAATTTTAAAAATTTTTAAAAAGAATAATTGAGTATTTGGATGCTGTTGCTGGAAAGAAACTTACAATTAGACTCAAAGTGAATAAAACATTATGCCAAGAATTAGATGCGGCAACTTACAAAACTAAACAGTAAATTTTTCTTAAAAATTTTCTACAAATGTAAAAACCTCCGGAGGTCGTGTTTTTGAAGTTTTTTGTTTTTTTCATATGTTTTTTATTTGTTTTGTATTCCCCTGCTGCGCATGCGAAAAATTTAATAAAAAAAAATATAAAAATCTGAATTTCTAACGTTGAAAAAATTTTTTAACTTGTAGGCTCGACTCCATTGCTGCTGATGGTGGCTATGGTTTTTTCGTTTTTTTTTTGTTTTTTTAAGATTTTTTTTCTAAAAATATGAAATTGCAGGTGCAACTCCAGCAACTGGTGGACGCCAACATGTATGGTTTGGACAAGGCCTGCTCTGGCCTGATGTGCTTTGGTTGCAGCTCTTATGGTGGCTGAGTGGTTTGGTTGTTTTTAGGGGGTAAAAAATGGGGGTGGGGGTATTTTTCAGGGCTATAGCCCTCTTCATGGTGGCACTGCTGCTGGTGGACCTGCTAAGGGTGGAGGGTTTGGATGGAGGTTTTTGTTTTAAGTATTTAGAATTTTTTGAATTTTTTGTTTAGGGTCTGTTCTCGGCCTGATGTGTCTGCTGTTGGTGGACCTGCTACTTGTGGAGGGTTTGGATAAAGGTTTTTTTTTTGTTTTTTAGTTATACAGATTTTTTTGCTTTTAGGGCCTGTTCTCGGCCAGATGGTGGATGTTGGTGGTTCTTGCTGCTGTGTGGCCTGACGTGGATGGAGCTGGTTGGTCTGCTGTGTGGCCTTATGGTGGTTGTTGGTGGGGGGATTTTTTAATTAAAAAATTAATGGTGGGAGGGGATTTAGTTTCAGCCAGGTGTAACTCCAGCAACTCCCGGACGTCAACATGGTGGCCTCTTCCTCAACTCAACATGGTAAATTTCTTTTCAATTTTTAAATAAAAATTGCAAAAGCTAAAAATATGCGCGCGAGCTCCCCTTTCTTTTGTTTATTTCTTGTTGTCCTTGTCCTTTGTTTTTTTTTCATTATTTTTCAATCGTCTAAATATTTTGAGATTTTCTGAGATTTTAGCAATACAGGTCAAATGGAATGAATGGATGGATCTGCAACAACTGGTCAATGGATGACAACCAACAAAAGAGAAAATGGACGAGCAAGGATGAGCAACAGCAACAATAACCATAGTAAGCGAAACGATCCCTGATTAAAAGCAATCATAATTGCCTGTGCGGTGTGTCTATGTCGGTTTGGCGTCTAAAATTTAAATTTCTGGCATTCTGTTTATTTTCAATAAATGAAAATTTATCCAATCAATATAGAGGGAATAGTACAGGCTAGAGAAGTTAGACAATTCATTTTTTTCTTTTTAATAAGGATCTTTAGAGTCTGAGACATAATTTGATGGTGGACCTGTTTTTCTTTTTTAGACCGTCAACTTACGCCCTGTGGCGGTTTCATCTTCAAAATTCATTTCTTTTATGCTTTTAAATTTTTATAATTTAGATTTACTGTCTGTCTATTTACTACAATGTCAATTGCACCAACATACCATATTCATAAGCCAAATGTTCCCATACTTATGGAGGTTTTTTTTCTAAAATTTTGCAGACTAAACATTTATCGGTACTTTCCTGTTATCGGCCCTCCGTTTTTTCTTCCTTTTTTCTCAGCCTAGTTCTGTACAGAATGGTCAGATTTTCTTTCTTTCTCAAATTCACTCCATTTCACATTGGCATATTCAAATGAGACATTAATGAAGAAAAGTTGCGGAAAAAATCCTAAAGACGCGACGAATACACAGAAAATTGAACGTTTGTGGGGAACTTTCTTTTCGTTCGTGGGTATCTTTTCTTTGTTAGTGTTGCCACCGAGAAATGGAGTGAATCTGAGAAAGAAGGAAAATCTGACCAAACTGTACAGAAGTAGGCTGACAAGGGAACATATGTTACTGTGAGTACGAATTTGATAAATTTTCTGGTACCATTCGATAGAGGACCCTCGATTTACTATTGTTATGTGCGGGTTTTCTTGCAAAATTAGTTTGGGCCGAGTTATGGCCGTTCAAAGTTAGACCGCTAGAGTCAGGAGTTATAGGGTAAGAAAACAATTTCTCTCTTATTTTTCATACTCAAAAAACGGACACACCCATCTTCTCTTTATTTAGTGTCTAACATTTTTCCTCCCTTTTTTTTCCTTCGCGCCTCTTGCGTTCTCTCTCATTGTTGTAAATCAATATAAAGAAAGCAGAGAGAGTGAAAAAAGGACATAGTTCGCTCATTTTCCTTTTCTCTCTTATTTTTCATCCTCAAAGAACAAGCCACGCCCCTTCTCTTTGATTATTGTGTCTGACATTTTCTCCCTTCTTTTTTCCTCGCGACTCTTGCATTCTTTTTTCCTCTTTATAAAATAATGTGAAGAACGCAGAGAAGTGAAAAAAAAGTTATAGCGCGCTTATTTTCCCTCTTGCTTATACTCAATCAATCCCAAGGACTGAAACTTTGAACGGCCAGAACTCGGCCCAAACTAATTTTGCAAGAAAACCCGCAAACTACAAGAGTAAATCGAGGGTCCTCTTTCGCATGGTACCAAAAAATTTATCAAATTCGTACTCACAGTAACATATGTTCCCTTGTGAGAAAAAAATAAGAAAAAATGGAGGGCCGATAACAGGAAAGTACCCATTTATCTTAAAATAGGATATATTTGGATGGGTACGAGAAGGAAATGCATTTCAAGTGAGAGTATGGTTGGATGACACAGAGCATGATCTAAATGTTGGGTACGTTTTTATACCTTTTAATCATCGATGCTGAAATTTTTATATTAAAGGGATGATCATGCATTTTCTCTATTGCATTGGGCTGCCAAGGAAGGTCATCTTTCAATTGTAGAAATGCTCCTAAATAGAGGGACCTTAATAAATGCTACAAATATGGGGGATGATACGGCATTGCATTTAGCAGCTGCTCATGGTCATAGACAAGTTGTTGTGGTATTATAGTTATTTTCAATTTTTTGGACAAAGTGTTTTTCAGAAACTTTTGTCGAAGAAAGCAGAAGTAAACGTTTATAACGAACACGGGATGGTATTCTAATTTTAATTAATTCTCATAGAAAAATTTAGACACCTTTACATTATGCATGCTTCTGGGGATACGAACAGATTTGTGAAGATTTGATTCGTGCTGGCGCACTTGCAATGATTTGTAATAAAAGGGGATTAACCCCTTTAGATGTCTGTCAACCTCAAGTCAGACAATCTATCTACGGTTTTTTGTTTTTGATAAATTAATTTATGTAAGATAATTTAAGAAATTGCTTTGAGCAGTGGACAAAATCCACAGCAAAAGATACAATACAATGGTGATAGCTGGCGTAATACAAAAACGGTTTTGACTCTAACATTTGAATGATTTCCTTTTGGGGTATAATTTTTCAATTTTAGAAGAGATCTCGTGAGGCAACTTGGTCTAGGTATTTTTATCGGTAAAATGTTTGTTAAATATTACTTTTAGATTTACTGGTGTTGATTTGCAATCTCTTGCCTTAACTAAACAAATTGCTCAATCTCATTCTGGCACTCTTTACCGAGGAAAATGGCAAGGAAATGAGATCATCGCGCGCGTTCTTAATATCCCAGAAGTTACACAGCGAATTTCGCGCGATTTTGCCAATGAATTCCCGTTGTTAAGGTTTGTTTAAGTTATTTATTGTTAGGCACTTCCCAACTCTTCAGGATATTTGCAAGTGCACATATAAACCCAGTTTTGGCTGCGGTGAATCAACCACCAAAATTGATTCTAATAAGTCAATTTATGCATTTTGGCTCTCTTTACAATGTGTTGCACGGCGAATCATGTTTCTAATATTTCTATTAAATCAATTTTTATGGTTTCAGCTGTTGTTATTGATCATACGCAGGCGACTCGTTTCGCATTAGACATCGCCAAAGGGATGGCATTTCTACATTCATTAGGTTTTTACAGTTCTATCTTACTTTGATCTTTCTACTTTAGATCAGCCAATACTTCGTTTCTATCTTAACTCCAAGCATGTTGTCGTCGATGAAGACCTAAACGCCAAAATTTCTCTTTCAGATACTAAGTTTTCATTTCAGGAGATTGGAAGACTTTATTCAACAGCGTGGATGGCACCTGAATGTACGGAAAAATTTATTTTCTTTAATTAAGAAAAAATTTTCAGCACTGCAACGAGCACCCTCAGATCTGAACACTCGATCTGCCGATATGTGGAGTTTTGGAATTCTTCTTTGGGAATTAAGCACTCGCGAGGTTTTTTTTCGTTATCAAAGAAATTTAAGATCATCAAATTCAGGTACCCTTTTCTGAACTTTCTCCAATGGAAGCTGGAATGAAAATAGCTTTGGAAGGGTTGAGAGTTACAATACCCGCGGGAATATCAAGAAACATGTTCCGGCTGATCAATATTTGTCTAAACGAAGATCCAGGAAGACGACCAAATTTTGATCAAGTTATCCCAGTACTTGAAAAAATGGGAGAATAAATTAGAAATAAAATAATAGGCCATGGTTTAAGTCCAAAAATAATAAAAATAAAGTTTATAAGAACATATTTAAGACCTGATTTGTTTGGAGTTCGAAAAAAATTTTGGACTAAAACTCGAAAATTATAAATTTACAATTAGTCATTTATCTCGATAGAATTATTAAACTACAAAAAAAAGCATTTAATCGCATAATAAATATTCTAATCTTTTGTCTTCGTATGAATTTTTACCAGCTTCTATTCTTTTTTCAGATAATTGTGATTAACAAATCTTACTAGCTGACAATTTTAAAAATTATAAATTTCCGGAAATTACGAAACCTGCAAATTCTGAGCTGAAAAATTTGTTGCATGGCAAGCGAGTAGAAGCATATTCCGAGGCTATATTTATAGATTTTACATTTAATAGTTAATTTTGAAACAAAAAACCTGAACTCTCCATGCAAATCGCATAAACACTGAAGAATAAATTATCAACGCACACGTCATTGGCCCGGATATAAACTCTGGATCCTGAATAAGTGTTGATTTCTAAATAAAATTAGTTGTGAACATACCTTGGTAGCAAAGTCTCCTAATGCAGCAAGTGGAAGTCCCCAATTAGCAACAGGCCCCCAAAAATCTAGAAAAAATTACAACTGGATTGAGGTAGTAATAAATTGATTTACGTGTAGAACCGAAATAATTGAACCAATCATTTTTTGAGTACTGCCTGAAGTATGCAGAAACTGATTTGAATAATAAAGACATTCTAGGTCTGAAAAAACAGCTAATTTAGTAGTTCATTTGGGGTGAAAAATTCGAAAATGCAAATAATAGCTCATTCGAAAGAGCTCCTCGGGCTGAGTCGAATGACACCAAAATCGCCGTGATTGGTCAAGTTTGTTCAAAGTTATGACAGAAAAAACAAACAACGTAAACCTATGGGGCGTCGGCGAGGCGCTTGTGCAAAACTCCGCGCTTCGCGCGGAGTTTCGCGCCTCGCGGGGAGTCTACGGGCTCTGGGTCTGGGCTCGTAACTTAATCCTATTCCAATTATCGCTATGATGGGCATGCCCGGCTTCCTCCGCAGCAGCAAGAACATCCACGGAGAACAAAGGTAAGGAGCTAAAACAAACGATCGTAACTTTGTCAAATCAAGTCTGATTTTGCTGATTTTGGTGTCATTCGACTCAGCTCGAGGAGCTCTTTCGAATGAGCTATTATTTGCATTTTCGAATTTTTCACCCCAAAAAAGTGCTTGGTCTCCCCTATGGTTTTTGACCATTTCGAACCCTGTATCTCGGCCCATAGTTGCGTCCCAATCGATATTTTGATGTCATTCGACTCAGCTCGCCGAGCTGAGTCGAATGACATATAATTTGTCCAAATCGGAGTCTGTTTAGTATTCCGAAATTATACCTTTTTAATTTTTGACAATTTTTAATAAAAAAATTTTAAATAACCGTTCCAGGAATTCCTTTTTCTCCATAACCCAAATCAGAGCTAATTGTAAGTTTTGCATGTTGGCCAACAGACATCTGTGAAAAAATATTTAGTAGTGAGAAGTCAACGTTGTAGTCCCCCGGTTTCAATTGACCATGAAAAAGCAAACTTTCGATAGATAGGTAGGGAACTTTCGTTCAATTAGGTAGGATTCCCAGGGGAAAGGGAGGAGGTCTCCCCCCAGAGCGCGCGGCCCCGTCCGCGCGGCTCTAATTCCCCGTTCCCCGTAAACTCGGCCCCCGCCCCGTAATATCGAACCCTAGTATACTGAAATAATTACCCTGGGTATTTCTTCAACTTTCACAGAGGGGGGGGGGATTAATAAGGAGAGTACTTATTTGAACATATACGCTCACTCAAGAGATATATGTATAATTTGACCCATTTGCGTCATTTTTGGGTATTCCAAAAATTTTCCAAAATTTCGGAATTTTTCTTTGAAGGACCCACAGCATTTTTTAAAAAAATATAAAAAAAACAAACCTTAGCAACCCCTCATCCCATCCTTTAATAACTTCTCCTTTTCCAATTGTGAATTCAAAAGGACGTCCACAATCACGAGAAGAATCAATTTGTTGTCCATTTTTTGATTGCAATTCAGCAAATAATTTAGCCGTTTCATTAACACGTTTATCTTCCTCAGCATCATTAACCATTCCTTCAATATCTTCAGAAGATGAACGGTTGTGGTCAAAGGAGACGTTAATTTTATTTCCAGTTTCTTTATCTTCAGCTGTTACATTAAGGATTCCATCGACGTCGATTCCAAAGGTTACCTTCAAACAAAAAATTTTTTAGAAAATTCAAAAAACGTCTAAAAAAACCTCAAATGGTGGCACACGACGAGGTGCTGGTGGAATTACTGTCAAGACGAATTTTCCAAGCATGTGGTTGTCTTTAGTCATTGGACGTTCTCCTTCATAGACCTTTAAAGGAAATAATTTTTCAAAAATTTTTCAGATTTCAAAAAAAACATGAATTGTCAAAGCCTTTTGAGGTACTTTTCTGTTTTGCCACACCCCACCCATATATTCGCAGGATATACATATTTTTTATTTTTCCTTAATTCGCACAGAAAGGTCAGTCTACTTTCTTCCTCAATTTCACTAAATTTTCCCTCTGGCATGTTCAATGAGAGACACCAACAAAGAAAAGATTAATTTTTCTTTCCGATGCCATCAAAATTGAAATCAACATTTGGGAATATCGAGTGAGCACGGAAGATTGAGTCCACAGGGAAAATTAAATGAAATTGGGGAAGAAATAAAACTGACCTTTCTGTACGAATTAAGGAAAAATTTAAAATGTATCCTGCGAATATATGGGTGGGGTGTGGCAAAACAGAAAAGTACCCCTTTTGATTGTCTGCAGCATTAGAGAAAACTTGTGCCTTTATGGTTGGGATAAGAGTGTTTCGTTTGATCAACTTTGTCATTACACCACCAACAGTTTCAATACCGAGAGTCAATGGGTCCAAAACAATTTCGGTGTCTTCTTCTCCAGAAATTACTCCAGCTAGGACAGCAGCACCATAAGCAACAGCCTCATCTGTAAAAAAGATACAATAACCAGAATCTACCCAGGAAAAAAATTTTAAACCTGGATTAATGCCACGAGAAGGTTCTTTTCCATTAAAGAAATCTTTCAATAATTGTTGAATTTTTGGAATTCTTGCTGATCCACCAACCAAAAAATATTGAATGTCATCCTTCTTTATGTCTTAAACAGAAAATCTCATAATTTTTCAAAAATTCCCCTCAAAAAAACCTGCATCTTCCAAAACTTTTTGCACAGCATTAAGTGTTCCTTCAAACAAATCCATATTTAATTCTTCAAATTTGGCACGAGTTAAAGTTTCAGCAAAATCAATTCCATCAATTAAAGATTTAACTTCCATTTTAACTATGTGCTGGACTGAGAGGGCTCTCTTTGCCTTTTCGACCTTTAAAAGAAAGGATTATTTATAAATCATGGACCAAAAATTATTTAAAAAATTTTTTGTAAGTTTTTTAGCATAAAGGAGAATTAAGGGACGGAAAAAGAATAAAACGCGGAAAAGCGTACCTTTTGGTTAAGTGGTATAATTAAAAATCTTACAGAAAAGAGGGTACAAGGTTCGAACCCAGGCAGTGGAAACTCTCATTTTTAGTCATTTTAAATAAAAACTAATAATTCTATAAATTTTCCAACAAACATAAAAATTGTTAAAAATTTTTTAAAACCCCAAAAGACACAAAAAAACAAACCTCACGACGAAGTTTTTGATTTTGGTGTCATTCGACACAGCTCGACGGGTTCTATAATTTGATAACAGACTGACCATTTTTAATACTTTTAGGTAGGAAAAATGCATGGGGTATACCATCCGAACTATTACCAAATCCCCTGGTACTGACCCGAAACGAAACCCGACATGAAGATTAAAGTTTAAAACCCGATCAGGCTTTTCCCAACCCGTGACATCCCTGGTTCCTGGAAAGTAAGGAAATCAGAAAACGAAGAACCTAATCGATCGGTTTCGAACTGATTATCCTAGTTCTGCCAATTATAAAATAAAAATTAAGAATAAAAACCTTTTTCATTCCAATAGGTTGTTGTTCATCATCCTCTAATATATCAGAAAAATGTACACGCCGTCTTTCTTGTTTTGAATGTTGATTATTCTCTTCCTCTCCTTCCTTCACATCCATTTCTTCCCCATTCTCATCAATTTTCTCTTCCTCATCTTCACTTAATTCCAGTGAATCACAAAGTTTGACAAACCTCTCATAATCCTAAGAAAATAATTTTTAATAAATAAACCCCTCAAAACCCCCAAAAAACCTTTTCAGACACTCCTTTTGGCCTAGTTGGTTTGGTATTATCTTCTTTAGATTTTTCATTAATTTTATTATCGTCTTCATTATTTCCATCTCCATTCTTCAGTATTTGATCTATCTCATCATTTATTCGATCCATCTCATCATTTTTTGAACAAGGCTTTGAAGATGACTTATTTGGTGAAGGGGGCGATTTTTTAGTAGGAGAATGTTGAATTCGTTTACCTTTAAAAAATAAAAACAAGTTAGGTTATGTTCACAATTTAGAGAGATTTCTACAGGGGAGAGTTTTCTACAGGTCTTCCAACTCAATTTTCGGGACAAAATGAATTAAAGGTCCCAATCAATCCAACCCATCCGTTTTTTCTTTTCTCTACAAGGGGTTCTAAATAAAGACCAAGATTGGGAGGAGGATCCTGCTTTCGGGACAACGTAAAATAAAAGTTTCAGGCAATCCGACCTATCCCTTCTAGACTAAGGAACACCTTGAGGCATATAACCCTCTCAACATCATTAATTTTAAAAATAAACCTTTAATTTTTCCACTCCCTTCCTTGTCTTCATTTTCTGGTTCTCGAATTTCAACTAAACCATCGTTTGTCTAAAATCAAATTAAAATTTTGTTCCAAAATTTGGAGTAACTTACAATATTTAATCTTTCCATTAGAGCGACCTTTTCAGTTAGAGATGTCATTTCTTGACGTAAATATTTTAAAGCAGTTTGAAAAGCTATAAAAAAATTAAAGGAAAAAATTTTGATTTGGGGGTTTAGCGACCGGTTATTTAACCAATACCGATTCAGATTTCGGTTATGACGCTAACTTTTGGAAGAAAAAGAGCAGGGAAATGGAGCTGCTAATAAATAACAAAATTTAGACGAGGTTGGATAAGGCCCGTGACCAGCAGTGGATCAGGCCCGTATCCAGGGGTGGATCAGGCCCGTAGCCCCCCCCCTCTCCGAGAAAAATCTTGGCTACGGGCATGGGTTGGAGGACAGATTAGTCCAAAGTTTGAAAAGGGACCGTTTTGGTTTTATAAAACCCGTCGCCAACAACCCTAATTTATATTTAAAATCTTTCTAAAAAACCTTCAATTTGTCTATCCAAAATTTCTAAAGCTTGTTCACGCGTTCTCATAACAAATAAATTATCAGCAAGAAAAACCATACAGCGATCGCCTGGCGCTGTAATTTTCAAAAATTTCTTTCAATTAAAAAATTTTTTAACCTTGACATTCAATTAAACGCCTAGCATTTTCATAAACAGAAACCTCGTGTTCTTTATGGGCTATAAAGGCTTGGATATTTTGAAGCTCCTGAAAAAATTATTTTTAAGTTTGAAGCAGTTAAGGCGTCGGGGCCAGGTTTTATTCTTTTACCCAAACCAGGCCTATCATTTTAACAAAAATACCCTTGTTTCCTGGCTACTGGGTCCTTAAAAGACGTTTCCAGGCCCAAAGCTAGGAGGTGGGGTAGGATGGGTGGTTGCCCCCCCTGAAGATTTTTACTGGCTACGGGGTTTGTAAAAGCCGTCACGGGTCGGATTGGAACTCTAATTCTTACTCTTCTAAATTTGAAAAAAATTCAAAATTTAAATATAATTTTGCAAAAAAATTGTGAAATCGTGACCCAAAAATTTGAAAAAAAATCTGAAACAATTTCCCACCATCAAAAAAAAATTTAAAAAAAAACTAACTAACAATTAAGTGAATTTCTCTAGCAAGGCCAATATCAAGAATATTTGAAGCTGCATTAAAAGAATGTCCAACAACATTTGAATTATTTTGTTTATTTATAGAAGCATCCATTTAAATATTCAAATTAAAATTAAAATAAGGCTGAAATAAGCTAAAAAAATATTTTTAAAATTAAAAAATAATTAAGGTAAAAATTTAAAAAATCATTCAATATTTTAATTATTTAATTAAAAATGATACAAATTTTATGAAACAAAAAAATAATTTTATTGAAAAAGTCAATGAAAAACAACAATTTTTAAAATGACAATTTTTAACGTTAAAACAAATTTTTTATAAAAATTTTTAATGTGTTTTATAAAAAACGAAAAAAAGAATATTTAAATTTAAACAGCAGTTGAAAGTTTAACAAAATGTAAACAAACTAAAAAATCAATAAAAACAATTTTGCATGATAAATTTTTCGGAAAGAAATCGGATGAAACACCTAGACATGTTTAGACGCGAAATATCTTAAGAGGTCTTCTGGAGCAAATTGTTTAATCTCTCCGTTGACGTTTGCTTTGATGTGTGGTTTATTTTCTTTATCAGCAACCTAAAAATTTTTTGGAAGAATGAGAGGGTGACAATAAGTCCCAAAAATAATTTTTGCGGACAAAAGTTAAAATTTGCGGACAATTTAAAAAAACCTTCCAAATTTGCGGACAAACGCTCAATCTTGCGGACAAAAGTTCCCTCTTGTGGACAAAAATCCAATATGCGGACAGAAATTTCCAACTTGCGGACAAAATTCTCATCCTAACCCTTTGTCCGCAACCCCAAAATTATTCAAGAAATATACCCCAAACGGCCACAACTTTCTTCAAATCTACCACAAAGAACCTGTTTAGGTGTACAGCCCAAACCTCTCATGTTTTCCTTTGCTCTATCTTCAAAAATGTCTGACCTCGGGACAGAACTCCCAAAGCCAACTTCCCCGTGACGGACCATCTTACCCCGTTGCCGGAACAACTTGGAATTTTTTCTTGAAAAGTAATAATTTCTTGAAAAGTAATTTTTTTGCAAAATTATATTTAAATTTTGAATTTTTTTCAAATTTAGAAGAGTAAGAATTAGAGTTCCAATCCGACCCGTGACGGCTTTTACAAACCCCGTAGCCAGTAAAAATCTTCAGGGGGGGCAACCACCCATCCTACCCCACCTCCTAGCTTTGGGCCTGGAAACGTCTTTTAAGGACCCAGTAGCCAGGAAACAAGGGTATTTTTGTTAAAATGATAGGCCTGGTTTGGGTAAAAGAATAAAACCTGGCCCCGACGCCTTAACTGCTTCAAACTTAAAAATAATTTTTTCAGGAGCTTCAAAATATCCAAGCCTTTATAGCCCATAAAGAACACGAGGTTTCTGTTTATGAAAATGCTAGGCGTTTAATTGAATGTCAAGGTTAAAAAATTTTTTAATTGAAAGAAATTTTTGAAAATTACAGCGCCAGGCGATCGCTGTATGGTTTTTCTTGCTGATAATTTATTTGTTATGAGAACGCGTGAACAAGCTTTAGAAATTTTGGATAGACAAATTGAAGGTTTTTTAGAAAGATTTTAAATATAAATTAGGGTTGTTGGCGACGGGTTTTATAAAACCAAAACGGTCCCTTTTCAAACTTTGGACTAATCTGTCCTCCAACCCATGCCCGTAGCCAAGATTTTTCTCGGAGAGGGGGGGGGCTACGGGCCTGATCCACCCCTGGATACGGGCCTGATCCACTGCTGGTCACGGGCCTTATCCAACCTCGTCTAAATTTTGTTATTTATTAGCAGCTCCATTTCCCTGCTCTTTTTCTTCCAAAAGTTAGCGTCATAACCGAAATCTGAATCGGTATTGGTTAAATAACCGGTCGCTAAACCCCCAAATCAAAATTTTTTCCTTTAATTTTTTTATAGCTTTTCAAACTGCTTTAAAATATTTACGTCAAGAAATGACATCTCTAACTGAAAAGGTCGCTCTAATGGAAAGATTAAATATTGTAAGTTACTCCAAATTTTGGAACAAAATTTTAATTTGATTTTAGACAAACGATGGTTTAGTTGAAATTCGAGAACCAGAAAATGAAGACAAGGAAGGGAGTGGAAAAATTAAAGGTTTATTTTTAAAATTAATGATGTTGAGAGGGTTATATGCCTCAAGGTGTTCCTTAGTCTAGAAGGGATAGGTCGGATTGCCTGAAACTTTTATTTTACGTTGTCCCGAAAGCAGGATCCTCCTCCCAATCTTGGTCTTTATTTAGAACCCCTTGTAGAGAAAAGAAAAAACGGATGGGTTGGATTGATTGGGACCTTTAATTCATTTTGTCCCGAAAATTGAGTTGGAAGACCTGTAGAAAACTCTCCCCTGTAGAAATCTCTCTAAATTGTGAACATAACCTAACTTGTTTTTATTTTTTAAAGGTAAACGAATTCAACATTCTCCTACTAAAAAATCGCCCCCTTCACCAAATAAGTCATCTTCAAAGCCTTGTTCAAAAAATGATGAGATGGATCGAATAAATGATGAGATAGATCAAATACTGAAGAATGGAGATGGAAATAATGAAGACGATAATAAAATTAATGAAAAATCTAAAGAAGATAATACCAAACCAACTAGGCCAAAAGGAGTGTCTGAAAAGGTTTTTTGGGGGTTTTGAGGGGTTTATTTATTAAAAATTATTTTCTTAGGATTATGAGAGGTTTGTCAAACTTTGTGATTCACTGGAATTAAGTGAAGATGAGGAAGAGAAAATTGATGAGAATGGGGAAGAAATGGATGTGAAGGAAGGAGAGGAAGAGAATAATCAACATTCAAAACAAGAAAGACGGCGTGTACATTTTTCTGATATATTAGAGGATGATGAACAACAACCTATTGGAATGAAAAAGGTTTTTATTCTTAATTTTTATTTTATAATTGGCAGAACTAGGATAATCAGTTCGAAACCGATCGATTAGGTTCTTCGTTTTCTGATTTCCTTACTTTCCAGGAACCAGGGATGTCACGGGTTGGGAAAAGCCTGATCGGGTTTTAAACTTTAATCTTCATGTCGGGTTTCGTTTCGGGTCAGTACCAGGGGATTTGGTAATAGTTCGGATGGTATACCCCATGCATTTTTCCTACCTAAAAGTATTAAAAATGGTCAGTCTGTTATCAAATTATAGAACCCGTCGAGCTGTGTCGAATGACACCAAAATCAAAAACTTCGTCGTGAGGTTTGTTTTTTTGTGTCTTTTGGGGTTTTAAAAAATTTTTAACAATTTTTATGTTTGTTGGAAAATTTATAGAATTATTAGTTTTTATTTAAAATGACTAAAAATGAGAGTTTCCACTGCCTGGGTTCGAACCTTGTACCCTCTTTTCTGTAAGATTTTTAATTATACCACTTAACCAAAAGGTACGCTTTTCCGCGTTTTATTCTTTTTCCGTCCCTTAATTCTCCTTTATGCTAAAAAACTTACAAAAAATTTTTTAAATAATTTTTGGTCCATGATTTATAAATAATCCTTTCTTTTAAAGGTCGAAAAGGCAAAGAGAGCCCTCTCAGTCCAGCACATAGTTAAAATGGAAGTTAAATCTTTAATTGATGGAATTGATTTTGCTGAAACTTTAACTCGTGCCAAATTTGAAGAATTAAATATGGATTTGTTTGAAGGAACACTTAATGCTGTGCAAAAAGTTTTGGAAGATGCAGGTTTTTTTGAGGGGAATTTTTGAAAAATTATGAGATTTTCTGTTTAAGACATAAAGAAGGATGACATTCAATATTTTTTGGTTGGTGGATCAGCAAGAATTCCAAAAATTCAACAATTATTGAAAGATTTCTTTAATGGAAAAGAACCTTCTCGTGGCATTAATCCAGGTTTAAAATTTTTTTCCTGGGTAGATTCTGGTTATTGTATCTTTTTTACAGATGAGGCTGTTGCTTATGGTGCTGCTGTCCTAGCTGGAGTAATTTCTGGAGAAGAAGACACCGAAATTGTTTTGGACCCATTGACTCTCGGTATTGAAACTGTTGGTGGTGTAATGACAAAGTTGATCAAACGAAACACTCTTATCCCAACCATAAAGGCACAAGTTTTCTCTAATGCTGCAGACAATCAAAAGGGGTACTTTTCTGTTTTGCCACACCCCACCCATATATTCGCAGGATACATTTTAAATTTTTCCTTAATTCGTACAGAAAGGTCAGTTTTATTTCTTCCCCAATTTCATTTAATTTTCCCTGTGGACTCAATCTTCCGTGCTCACTCGATATTCCCAAATGTTGATTTCAATTTTGATGGCATCGGAAAGAAAAATTAATCTTTTCTTTGTTGGTGTCTCTCATTGAACATGCCAGAGGGAAAATTTAGTGAAATTGAGGAAGAAAGTAGACTGACCTTTCTGTGCGAATTAAGGAAAAATAAAAAATATGTATATCCTGCGAATATATGGGTGGGGTGTGGCAAAACAGAAAAGTACCTCAAAAGGCTTTGACAATTCATGTTTTTTTTGAAATCTGAAAAATTTTTGAAAAATTATTTCCTTTAAAGGTCTATGAAGGAGAACGTCCAATGACTAAAGACAACCACATGCTTGGAAAATTCGTCTTGACAGTAATTCCACCAGCACCTCGTCGTGTGCCACCATTTGAGGTTTTTTTAGACGTTTTTTGAATTTTCTAAAAAATTTTTTGTTTGAAGGTAACCTTTGGAATCGACGTCGATGGAATCCTTAATGTAACAGCTGAAGATAAAGAAACTGGAAATAAAATTAACGTCTCCTTTGACCACAACCGTTCATCTTCTGAAGATATTGAAGGAATGGTTAATGATGCTGAGGAAGATAAACGTGTTAATGAAACGGCTAAATTATTTGCTGAATTGCAATCAAAAAATGGACAACAAATTGATTCTTCTCGTGATTGTGGACGTCCTTTTGAATTCACAATTGGAAAAGGAGAAGTTATTAAAGGATGGGATGAGGGGTTGCTAAGGTTTGTTTTTTTTATATTTTTTTAAAAAATGCTGTGGGTCCTTCAAAGAAAAATTCCGAAATTTTGGAAAATTTTTGGAATACCCAAAAATGACGCAAATGGGTCAAATTATACATATATCTCTTGAGTGAGCGTATATGTTCAAATAAGTACTCTCCTTATTAATCCCCCCCCCCTCTGTGAAAGTTGAAGAAATACCCAGGGTAATTATTTCAGTATACTAGGGTTCGATATTACGGGGCGGGGGCCGAGTTTACGGGGAACGGGGAATTAGAGCCGCGCGGACGGGGCCGCGCGCTCTGGGGGGAGACCTCCTCCCTTTCCCCTGGGAATCCTACCTAATTGAACGAAAGTTCCCTACCTATCTATCGAAAGTTTGCTTTTTCATGGTCAATTGAAACCGGGGGACTACAACGTTGACTTCTCACTACTAAATATTTTTTCACAGATGTCTGTTGGCCAACATGCAAAACTTACAATTAGCTCTGATTTGGGTTATGGAGAAAAAGGAATTCCTGGAACGGTTATTTAAAATTTTTTTATTAAAAATTGTCAAAAATTAAAAAGGTATAATTTCGGAATACTAAACAGACTCCGATTTGGACAAATTATATGTCATTCGACTCAGCTCGGCGAGCTGAGTCGAATGACATCAAAATATCGATTGGGACGCAACTATGGGCCGAGATACAGGGTTCGAAATGGTCAAAAACCATAGGGGAGACCAAGCACTTTTTTGGGGTGAAAAATTCGAAAATGCAAATAATAGCTCATTCGAAAGAGCTCCTCGAGCTGAGTCGAATGACACCAAAATCAGCAAAATCAGACTTGATTTGACAAAGTTACGATCGTTTGTTTTAGCTCCTTACCTTTGTTCTCCGTGGATGTTCTTGCTGCTGCGGAGGAAGCCGGGCATGCCCATCATAGCGATAATTGGAATAGGATTAAGTTACGAGCCCAGACCCAGAGCCCGTAGACTCCCCGCGAGGCGCGAAACTCCGCGCGAAGCGCGGAGTTTTGCACAAGCGCCTCGCCGACGCCCCATAGGTTTACGTTGTTTGTTTTTTCTGTCATAACTTTGAACAAACTTGACCAATCACGGCGATTTTGGTGTCATTCGACTCAGCCCGAGGAGCTCTTTCGAATGAGCTATTATTTGCATTTTCGAATTTTTCACCCCAAATAGTACTTGGCCCCCCCCCCCCCCCCCTATGGTTTTTGACCATTTCGAGCCCTGTATCTCGGCCCATAGTTACGTCCCAATCGATTTTTTGATGTCATTAGACTCATTAAGTTACGAATGACATATAATATGTCCCAATCGGAGTCTGTTTAGTATTCCGAAATTATTCCATTAAAAATTGTCAGATTCCTCCAAATTCAACTTTGGGTTTTGATGTTGAATTTTATCTCCGCACATTTTTTAGTCTAATTTTTTAAAGGATTTTAACATCTCCTTTTCCTAAATAAGGCACAGCCTCAGTTATAGAAAAAAAATTTTAAAGGCAATTATTAAATTTTTTCATTTTTAGGTAACTGATCATAATATTAGTCGAATCATAACAAAAACACTCAAGATTGCTTTAGGTGCTTTAGGCTACTATCTGGTATTTTAAATTTTATTTAACATCTTTACCTAACATCCCCGCCCCAGTCACTTTTTCGGTAAATATGTATAAGATGGTCAGTCTGTCATAGGTTATAGAACTCATCTAGTGTGTTGAATGACAGCATCAACCCTTGGTCTTAACTTGGACCGAAACCTATCGGAATCGACCCATATTTTACAATTTTTTCTGATTTTGATCCATATTCTGGATCCATATTTTATGTTCATATTTCTCGATTGATCGTCATACAAATCCGAGCCTTAGTCATAACTATGTCAAATCTTGTCCAACATGTTTATTTTGGTAACATTTACTCAGTTCAACGAGCTCTCTCGAATGAGCTATCATTTGTATAAATTTTCGTCCATATGGGTTTTCGCTTCTATGGTTTCTCAATTTTCATTTCTGTATCTCGGCCAAATCAAGTCTAATTTTTCTGATTTCTGATACGTACCCGAAAAAATTAGGGTAAAGAGCTATTACCGAATTTTTGTGCCTTTAATATTTTTAAATACAAATTAATTTTATTTTCAAAAAGTTTCGTGCTACATCTCCAACTCCAGATGATCCTGACATTTTTCAATT